AAATAATTGCCAGCTATCAATTTTCCCCTCCGAAGTGGAATTCCTCCCACGGTCCTAGTCTCAAAGTTACGTGAGAGCTTGATGAAAATTTTAGCGACCAATAAATTTTAACGTTGAAAGACAATACTTAGACAATTTTAACTTTTAGGCTATTAACTGCACCCTGTAATTTAAGTAGTTAAAACTACTTGAATCCAAAGAAGGCTGCTGGGGCGGATGGCATATCTCCTTGATTATTTCGTCTTTTAGTCCCTGTATTAGTGGAGAAAGTTGCAAAATTACTTAAGTTCTTTATTGAAAGTTATTCTTATTAGCCATTAAAGTGGAAATTCATCAATATGACTCCTATCAGTCTCCCAAAAACAATACGATATAAAAATGGAGACCACTTTCTCCCTGTCTAGTTTTTGACAGTTTTAAAAGAATCCTTTTGGATTAAATGTGCTGCGCCTTTCACAGCTACCTTTCTCTACTTTTTCAGTAATTCTAAATCACTCATTTTACTGTACTACACGTCTTAAAATGTCCATGGACTGGAAGAAATGTCTCAACAACAGAGAAGAGATCAACTCAGTTGAGGTAAATCCAAGCAAATTGATTGACTCAATCTGTCTCGGACTTCTCTTGGCAAAGTTGAAAGCCTATTGTTTCTCCTGATCTGCATTGAGGCTAGTTTCCGTCTTCTTTGTGGACCGTCGGCAGATAGTAGCGAAGTTAAGCACCAGACGTTCTTGGTACCACGGACGCCAACGGGAAGTATTTTTGCAGCATGACAGCCACTGCGCATGTCAAGACGTCCTTGAGCTAGGTTGAAACCAGTGGTTTAAATTCTGGGTTCTTCGAAGAGTATTCGTCATACAAAAGTAGAAATTCTTAGTCTGTCTTCGTAAGAAAGAAACAAAAATTCACACAAATCTTTGAAAGACATTTTCGAATGAATTCTTCTGTCGGCGTTTGTAATGCTTTCACGTTGGTTTGCTTAATGATTTGCATTTGGCGCGTAAACCGCGTCCCCGATCCAATTCTGCGCGGCCAGCCATGCCGTTCGTGAATCAAGAACGTCTGGTGCTTAAGTTCCCTAATTAGCTTTAGGAACATGTTCTATTTTAAAGGGACTTGTAAGTTGGTGTGCCTCAGGGGTATCCTTTGGGGCCCCTTTTGTTTCAATTGTTCTTCATTTATGGCTCCACTTTGTCACTGATACCATGCGCATATGATGCTACAGGTTATTTATTACGGTACCTCGTCTACTACAGTGCAGTTTGTTTTCAATCAATCATATCATCCTGGTTTGACAAAAATCGTCTAATTATTTTTTTTTGTCTGAACGACAAGACCCAGGCGCTTCCTATGGGGCCACATCCGTAAAACTACGATATGTTTCTGAAAAATGTTAGATTGGAGTCTTAACTATGTATATAGTGAAGTACTGGGGGTCACCCTGGATAGAATATTAACCTTTAAGGACACTAGCATCTGACGTATGCTTGGACAAAATTATTCAAAATGCGGCTTCTCAGCTAAGGCCTTGGGCAAAACAGGTTAAACCGGTTTTTAGCGAGAAAAACTTGTTTTGGCCAAAATAAAATGGAGGACATGAAGCGCACGATCAGTGAAAGATTGTCTCGGTCTCGTGTTCTTGAAAAATGACTTGCATCCGCAAAAATCCAGGTTCCAATCCTCGTTTCAGCCCTATATTTTTTTCAATTGTTCCGTTTTCACGCGTGATACCGATTTTTTGGAGACAAAACATAAACTGAGGCCTGTCCGCCGATTTTTCATGCTTAGCCCCCAAACAAGACATTCTTAGAGCATGAACAAGATAGCACCTCTGCTTCCAGGAAAGCAGCCTACTTTTACACCAAAATAGGATCAGATTACATCTCTTCTGTAGGCTTCAATGCAGAAGGGCCAGTCCTATAACAGAAGCTCGCCGAGCTCTTTCATTCCATGTGGCAGCAAGAGGTTATTCCTTGGGGAACTTAAGGATGCCTGCATTGTACACCTCTGCAAAAGGAGGGAAGCAAGCAATCAATCGACAATCACCAAGGGATTTCTCCCTGGTTATTGCTGACAAAATCCTTGCAAGAGTCAACCTTAACCGCCTTATACAGCACCTGGAAGATGGTTAGGCTCGATTACCAGCCGCTGTTCGGGAAAATGAGCCCGCACTCATCCCCCCCCGAACGACCAGACCCGAGAGACGGCAGAAATCGAGCCTAGAAGTCGCCTAGAAGATGGTCACCTCCCAGAAAACTGCTGACATGGTGTTTGCTGCACGGCATGCCCAGCCGGGAAGAATGTCAAGAACAGAATAGATATCTCTACATAACGTTTGTTGACCTGACAAAGGTTTTTGGTCATTGATCGTGAACTGTTTAATAATAAAATGAAGAACGTGGTTCATTAATTAACACGTAATTTTTTCACCACCTCGAGAGTATCATAATTTCGATTTGTAACTTTTACCACCCGAAGAAGTTCAGATTTGTTAATGTCGATGTAGAGAGTTTCTAGAGAGCAACCCCATATCAATTCGTCTCTAGCTAGCTAAGACGTGTGTCAAGTGTGGCTCTCGAAAGGGTCACACTCTTGTCCTTATACATTTTTACAGGGGTAGGAGTGTTGCCGTGGTATAAGGTCTTCGTGGTTCCAAAGCTCTTGCAAGTTTCTGGCAAAGTGACTGGAAATCCTGGATTTAAGCAAAACGCGTAGAGCCGTACCACTATGGTGGCGAGATGGTATGAATTTTATGTTCGAGTGGGAAGAACAATGTCTCAGAAGTAAGCGCAGTGAACGAAGGAGATATTGTTCAGGACACGAGAGCTGAGTCTTAGATGCGATGAAACCATGTTGAAAATATATGAAGATCAGAGTTCATGATATAGGGGAAACGTTAGATGCATATTCAGTAGTGTCAACTACATACGACAGTAGAGAGATGTTCGCAAATTTAGACTACTTGATAGTTCAACAGCATCAATCATCACAGAATACTCTTCAGAAATTTTTACAAATCGGCGCCTTACCTTCCACAGTAAACTGTTCTCAAAGCTCCTTGTCCGCTGCCAGTTCGTTCGCATAGATTCTACCCTTTCAGACTCCCTGCCAGTCTCCCATGAGGTGCCATAAGGGGCCATTTTCTCGCCTTTCTGTATATACATGAATGACCTTCCCTTCGCCTCGTAAAAATGTTGCCTTAAATCTTACGTCGATGACACGAACGTTTACGCATCGTTTTCTAGATTCCGCCACAGCAGTCACGAAACTAGAGCAAGACTTGCATCGAGTTGCAACATGGTGCTGCGAAACTCATCTTCTTATAAATCCAGCCAAAACCAAGTTCCTCTTGATTGCATGGGCAAATTTTAAGAAGACTACCAAAGAACTTGTCTGTGTCCTTTCTGGGAAAATATCTTGAACCTACTATTTCAGCCAAAGCCTTGGGCGTCATCTTAGGCCCCCACTTAACTTATACAATATTCATATCTCGAATTTGTAGTTTCTTCGTATCTATTTAAGTTATGACAGATCAACCGTGTCAAGTTTAGATTGGATTAAAAAACACTTACATTATTAATTTTATCGCTTGTTTTCATGCAGTAAGATGTTTTATTGCTCTACGGTGTGGTCGAGCGCATCTGCTTCTAATGCAAAGAATTTTCAGGTTGCTACAAAATTTCGCGTGCAAAATTGTCACGAATTCTAGGAAATATGATCATGTCACTCCGCTTTTGCGCCAGCTCAACTGGCTACCAGTCAAACAGCTTTTATATCCGAGAGAGACTTGGTTATGGCATATAAGTGTGTAAACAACCTCGCTCCTGCCTATTTCTGTGACAAAAAGTTCCGCAAACGATCCACCGTTCATGGCCTGGGTACGCGCAAGCGCTGCACCCGAGAAATACCACTGTTTAAAACGGCTACTGGTCAGCGAACGTTTATTTACAGAGCTGTTAACACCTGGAACAACTTAGACGACAATTTAAAAGCCTGCTCCTCGTTAAAACGTTTCAGAAACTTAATCAGGAGCCATTTAATTTCTTGGCAATAATTTTAATGTAATATATTTCCTTTATTCTTTAGTTTTATCTTCTAAATAGTGACTGAAAAGCCCCAAAAGCTCCTCATCAATTCCAATGCTCGATCTGTGAAACCATAAGCTCAACAACAAGCGTAACAACCGCCTCTCGGTTGTCAAGACTCAACCTCCAATCTTCTACCATGTTCAGCAATGCAGCACAACAAGAGCATCCCAAGGATAACCAGAGAGGTTGGACGAGAGACTTGGTATCGACGCTATCGCCTGCATGATGATGACCTGCAGGGCGCCGTCTAAACGTCGTGATCAATAAGTACGTGACTATTGTGATTCTTTAAGAGGAATAAAATACACCACAGTGATTTAAAGGAATGTTTTCATAAGGACGAGTGAAAACTTTTCTTTCGAGCACTTAACACGATAATAGACCAATTTCGATATATCAAAATTCATACTTGGTTCAGAGGCTAGGAGAAATGAAACAAAAGATATGTAATATTCATTGCTGAGCCTTAAGACGAGTTCTTTTGTTTTATTCCCCAGCGTCAATGCCAAGTCTAATATTTTAATATATCGAAATTGGTCTATTGCTTTTGTGGATTTTTTTTTTTTTTTACAATCTCCTCCTCTTTCCTCTCATTTTATTGTTTCCCTCCTCCCATTTCTTATTTTTTTCCCCCACTTTTAAAAGAAGGCTTGTTCGCCTAACCGAAATGCTAGGCAATAAAATATATCTTCATATCTGTTAGATCCGTCTTGCATTTCATTAAAATTTTTATTCTCTATTTCTTATCTTGATACAAATACACATGCACACAAAGATCCCACTTATCGTCCCTTTTGTGTGCCCGAGACGTCCTTTCAAGATCGCACGCATAGCGGACCTATATTATATTGGGCATCCCATCCGGGTTCTCGTATTTACATAATCTCCCACAAGCCTTTGTGTTTATGTGCGATCTTCAAAGTGGATAAAAGTGAACAAGTTGTAGGCTGAAAATATTAAATAACACCGAAAATGTCACAGCAAGAACATTAATGAAAAGATTAACCAAAGTAGTTCGGTCTGGGCATGGGGGGCGAATGGGAAACAACAGCTGCAAGGAAGAACCGGTGATTACAGACAGACTGAAGGCCGAAGACTTCGTTTTCACACAGGTTTGAAATTATTCACATCGATCATGATTAAGCTTTCTAGTTGTTGCAAGCAAATGAGCAATTAGCTTTAGTTAAAGTTATCTTTCAGCGTTTCTAACAATAAACTAGCGCTTTATTTTTGTTTTTGTTTTCGCAGACTTCGCGATATGGATTTCCATTTCAGCCAACTTGCCTTGCTCACGACCCGGTTCAAAGTATTTTGGCCATAGGAGCTTATGATGGTTCCGTACGAATGTATCCTTATCTTGCAACATGCTTTTCCATGTAAACTTACGATCATGAACTTAAAAGTCTTTCCTCTTGAAACTCCAATATTCGTGCTTTTGGTGTGTTTTATGGCCAGCCAGTGTTATATGTTCCTCTTTTTTACACAAACAAATTGCCCTAAGACTTAAGTAAGCTTTAATAACATCACGCGAGCAAGCTTTAATACGAGCTGATCGCCGTGTTTTCATTTGGTAATTTTGTAGTTATGTACAAGGAATATAAATTTCTCTGGAAATTTGTTGGTGAGATAATCACATATTAAAACGGATGCGGTAGTAAAGTACATGTACGTGGTATTGTCTATTATTGCGGTGAAGAAATATTATTGCTATGTATTTTGTTGTTGGTCATCTGTTGGGAGGTCTTCCCTGAAAGAAACAAACATGTGCAATCTCACATTCGGCGTTTTGCAATCGGTCGGTTTGTTATTCAATCGAACTGACCGTCAAAAGGTGTCGACAAAACATCACCACATTTTTAATCATATCTTTAAGTAAAGTTTCGCTTCTAATAGTGTTGTCTAATTAACAGATGATCGATTACTTTTGAAAACAAGGACATTTTTCCTTGACTTGCATTGATTGCAGCCTTGGGCAACCCGGGGTAGAATGTCATATACAGCACGAGAGTGGTGCTGCTGTAAGAGATCTTATATTTCTCATTAACGAGGTGAGAACAAATCGCCATCAATACAGTGGTTTTGAAGTTTTCAATGGAGTGATATCAAAATTAATGCAGCAGTGATTCTTGACACGTCCTTGATTTTTATAATGCTAATAATATTATAACTAGACTCGATGTTTTTTTAGGAATGATTTACATTAAGTTTACATAGCCTTTTAGTTATAAATCATTTTTTTTTGCTCCCAAGTGAACTTATTGTTCACTAACGACTTCCTGACTTCATGTTTCAGTAGTCTTCTGGTTATAAAAATCACAAGCTCATTTAATAAACTCAAGTTTTTCCTGTAGGTTTTCAATTTGTCTTACATGAAAATTATTTCTTGCTGAAAATTGGACAAAAATCCTTTAAAAATTATTCCCATAAGTGGTAAAAACAAACTACAAATCCTTACAACTGTGAACAGACAAGCAAAGTATTATTGGGTAATGCTCTCTTTGCATGTTCTTCTTACGTTTCATTATTTTGGACTTAACAATACAGGGAAATCGTTTCAAATCACATTTTAAAACATTGAAAACCAAATAATATCATGTCATCAAAAAGTACTTTAAAAGAGGTTTCATTTGAATGATCACACAACAGGAAAAAATTGCTGATCCAAAACAATATTGCACAGTAGGTCACTTTTGAACGGTTACACTTGATGACTTCATTTATAAATTGACATGTTAGAGCCATTTTGAACATTATACAGGTGGTAAATAGTACCACAGCAGAGTACTGCTCAGTAGCTTGAATGATCGCACTATATAGGAATAAAACAGAGAGGGGGGAGGTGGAGGATAACACAATATCCTCTTTCCATTTTTCCTTTCTCATTTCCCCTTCCTTTCTCTTCCTTTTATGATTCAAACAGGCTGCATCTTGCACAATATAACAAGTGCTGCTTAGAAGCCTTCCGTTTGAATAGGCTGGATTTGAATTCCAGCACATTAAAAGAAGCCAATTCAGGTGTAAGCTTCTAAACGACACTTTGTTGCTAGTAAGGCTTATAATTAGAAGACACAAATGAACAAATCTGAAAAAACTTTCATTTTTTTTTGTTGTTGTCCTCTAAGCCTTAAAAATGAAGTTTAAATTTAATAAATCAAAAGAAGCATTAACTTTGTCCCAACGGAGAGATTCAGCCACGGAGTTAAAAATTGGAACTGCATTTCATGCTTGCTTGTTATAATTCAAGGGTTTTTCTCTTCTTTTTACAGAAACTAGCACTTCCAAATTTCAATTGGTCATTTGCATGATAATGTCATTTGACTACTACTACCAGAACCCATTGATAAAAGCCTTGATTTGCACAAGGAAGCTAAACCGTGAAGGATTCTGGTCGTAGTAGTACAGTAAAATGCTGCGAAGAAGAACCTAGGATTTAAGAACCTGCGGGCAGAAATTTGTCATTTTAATACTTTAAAATATAAGAACCAGTTTAGCCAAGAAAAATCAACAGGTTCTTATATGTGGGGTAGACTACATTGTCATAAATATTTTGACAAAATCTGGCTTTAATATGGGAAATTTATATTGCGTTATATAATAAATGTATAATGTATACAACCATTGTTGAAAACTGCATATCTTCTAGCTGGTAACCTAGTTTTGTTAGATTTTTAGCAATTTCTTGTAATCAACAATAGTATCCTTCTTCATAAAAATTAAGAACCTAATTAAGAACCTATTTAGCTTAAACTTCCAATAAGTACTCCAAACTATAGGAATCAATTTTGCCAAACTTCAAAAAAGGTTCTTCTTCGCAGCATTTTACTTTAGTAGTCAAATGACATCATTGTCCAAATGGCCAATCTTATCATAAGGGATTCAGACAAGTCTGTTTGTCTGCAAAGACTGCCACACTTGCAAAGTAACTTTGATCAATGTGCCTGTATTTATTGTAATATGGGTTAACTTCCACTTAACAGCCATCTGTTAAGCAGCCACCCTCCATTAAGCAGCCAGTAGTCAAAGTCTTGAAATAATTGTAGAAAAGAATGGGGAATTAAACCTTTGTTAAGCGGCCACCTCTATTAAGCGGCCATGGCCACCTTTTGGCTGCCCCAACAAGAGTTCTCAAATTGTTTTCACCTTTATTAAGCAAAAATCAAGCAATTGATAGACTTACCGGTAGTTTGGCTTAATTTGAAGGTATTTGCACTGGCAAATTTGGTACATTTTTGCATGGTTTTTAATAGTTATTTTATGGCTAATATCTTTATATCAGTACATCAAAAGTGTTTCTTGGTTCTTGAGGAACTAAAATATATAAACTATGCTTCGTCACCCAAAAGGTGTTAATTTAATTACTGACCTAGGGTGTTACAGAGAAAAATCAAAATTTTAGAAAATCCTTACAGTTATTGTTAAAAAAGAAATGTAACACAAATAAGGACATAAAACAGAATAATTCCATGTTCAACCACCACACAGCTCCAGTTAATCCGCCTTCTGGGGCACAATTTGCTATTTTGTAATTTGATCCATTTTTTGTCATCAATAACTCAGCTTTACGAGAATTCTAACCTTTGGTCAAACAAAAATCTCTTCATTACATTGAAAATTTGCTGGTGGAGATATACCTTAAGAATAAAATGTATGATGAAGGAAAAAAACGCTGAGAGAAGGTGATGACCAATTGTGGGCCAGTGATGCTTCTCCCATCGCATGTTTGTTTCAGACTAGTGATGTTTCTGCTTAAGATAATTCTGATAATATGATGAACCTCTATTGAGTGGCCAACCTCCATTAAGCGGCCACTTTTGCTGGTACCCTGAGGGTGGCCGTTTAATGGGGGTTCAAGTGTACTAGTTAAACCAGTTACATTCTCCCCTGGATCCCTTAGTTTTTAGTTGCTGCTCTGAATGTAAAAAAAATGCAACTGTGTTGTTTTCAAGTCACAATTCACAAAGTAACTCAGTGGCATTTTGTTTTGACAGGGAGCTTTGATAAGTCTTTGTGAAGATGACTACATTCATTTGTGGAATTTAAGACAAGCACAACCTGCTCTTGTACAGTCATTAAGATTTAACAGGGAAAAGTGAGTATTTTGTAAGACTGTGATGTTCCATTTGGATAATTATTTATATAGCTTACATCTTTGGCTCCTAGCTGCTTTGATGAGAAACAACTTGAATGAGTATAGATGTTACAGGGAAGTTATTCATACACTCAAACTTCTTATAAGTTATCACCCAAATCCTGTGATTGGTGGTTCCTTACAGGGTGTGTTAGACCGAGAAAACAGCCAACATTTCACTATGCCACATTTGGTATCCCTGTGAAATGACATCTGAGGAACAAGTGCAGAAATTCCAATTGATGTGGAAGATGGGATCAATATACCATTAAGTTAATGGTATATTTGCTTGGAAACAAAGTTGATCAGTGGTATATTTGCATGGAAATGAGGCAACATGGCCAATAGTGAACAAAAAATGGCACTCACAGCTACCTGAAAATGAACAAGACACTGTGGGAGTGTACACTTCGGCATTGTAGTTGTGGACCAATTGTGAATGCGTAGGAATAGTAAGAAATTATATTTTTCCAGATGCCCTTCCATACAAATACCCTTACTCTCCTTTAAGGGTGTAACGATTCATATTCCTTGCAATTCGATTCGATTTCAATTATTTCAAATTGATTATGTAAATGTTTCTTAATTCTTATAACATAACGCCTAATGTTAACAACATGCAACCCTAAACCCTCAATTTGAGAATAGTAACAGGGACAGAAGGATTCACAGTCGTTTGGTTCCTCACCATGTTTGAGAACCTGACAGAGAGCATGTCGCTCATAGTTTGCCTTATTTGGAAATTCTCAAGGGGTGGTTGAAGGACAGCATTTTTATCAGGCAACACAAAATGGCGCACAAACTGCTATCGTCTTTGCTCGTCAATTAAAAACACACATTTTAAAGAGTTCTAGATTCTGATTTTACAATATAATAACTCACTGAGGGCACCCTGGAAAAGGTGTGCAAAAATTGAACCAAAATCGAAACATGGAGGCAAAGAATCGTGATAATTGGTGATAATCGCGAGTAATTGAGAATTCAATTAACCATTACATCACTACTCTTCTTTGGAGTTTTCATGTAAGCAACTGTTTTTTTGTTTTAGTATTTTAGCTTGCTACAGAAGGATGGTTAAAATCTCAATCTTCTTGTTTTTACTGTAGATTAACTTGTATGCACCTACCATTTTCGTCCAAGTGGCTATATGTTGGAACAGAACGAGGAAATATCCATGTTGTAAATATTGAAAGTTTCCAATTATCAGGGTACACAATAAATTGGAATAAAGTTATAGAAATGTAAGTAATATGTTACCTAGCTGTGGCATAGCATAGACTGTTAATTATAATGTCTAAATTCTTCAACAGTTTGAACCAACACAATAAGGAATTAAGCTTAGTATGCTGCAAGCACCCACTACTAAGCCTGAGAGAGAGCCATTTTGCTTTCATTTTTAAACATCACATACCTTCAACATTATCTCCATCTCTTTCTTTAGAGGGTCTTGAGATCATAAGTACATCAGGGCTTGAATTCCAGATTGTCCTTTGGGCAAGCAGCTGTCACATTTTGCTTGCCCGGGCCCCAATTCTTGCTCGTCCAAGATAATGTTAGAGGAGGACTTACTTGGACCCATTGGGCAAGTGAGCTTTTAACTTTTTTTGAGCCTTGAGTACACGAAACCAATAAATGCATTAATTTTGAAATTCCTTTTTTCTTTTTGTATTTTGTTTCATTGTCTAGAAAATGTAAAACTCACCCAGGTCCTGTTGTACATATTAGTGGAAACCCTGTGGACCCTAATAAGGTAGTTGAATTATTTTCCTTATGATTGAAAACTCAATGCAAGTTGCATAATATTGCTTTGTTGCCACACTTATATAAGCAGTACAATTCTAAGAGAAGCTTTCATAGATAAATGGTCTCAATTTTAAGTGATTTCAACAGTGGAATTGGATAGTTACAAATTATTTGAAAAACAGTCATGTGCCTGGAATTCACCAAGCTGTTCAGCTTCAAATAACTGTAACAACTTTCAATACCAGGTACGTACTAAAATTATAGTGAAAGGTTCACATTTAAGAAAGCACCCATAGTAAAGCAGGTGACATGCAAGTCAATTTTCAAGTTGTTTTAAAATCTTTCCCTGTATGGATGCATTACAGGGCTCAAATTTTCTATTTAAAACATTAAACAATGTAGTGTCTAGAAAATAGTGTTAAGCATTGTTATTTTTCCTGGTTGTTTTTGTTAATTTTTTAATGTTTTCTTTCAGTTACTTTTAGCTTTTAATTCTGGAACAGTTGTTGTTTGGTCCCTCAGAGGGAGAACAGTGGAACAAAGATGTATTTTTCCTCAAGTATGAAAGATATGTGTTTTTTTACATTGTGCTACTGCATAATTCCTCCTTTTTTTCTCCAAATCTTCTGAGGCATTTACACTCTTTGTGAATTATATTATTCATTTAAACTGTTTCACCATTTCTGAATGGCTAACAATTTGATGGTATATTTGCTTGGAGATGAGGTTGATCATTGGTATACTAGGCAGGTTGGCCAATAGTGAACATAAAAAGCTGTTGCAGAAGACAAAGAAAGAGCTGAATTTCTGACTAAAACTGAATGGAAGAAATACAGGAATATCAACGCATTTACTTAATTTATTTTGAGGATTATCTGCTTCAAACGACATCTTTTTATATCTTGAAACCTTATCGGAAATAGGCCAAAGTTTTGAAAAAAAAAAAAAAACTATAAGGAGGTAGCCTGTAATGAACTTAAAATATTTTGAGTGAGTAATAAAATAATTAAATGTAAGGATGCATGATCCATCCGATGAAATTCTTCACAACTCATGCTGTTGTGAAAAGAATTAGCCCCCCAAAAATTCAGACTTGCTGGGATGCGAACCCTGACCTTTGCGATAAAACAGCAGTGCAGTACTCTAACCAATGTATGTCGGATATTGTAGGGGCTGTCCATACTTGGTGCGCAGGAACCAGTGCCTGGGTGCTGGTACAAAATGGTACCTGATATGTAATTGTGTACATACTTGTTCCTGCCATTTTTAAGCTTAGCAGAGAGTACAAAATAATGGACTTCCCCAGAACTAACAGAAACAGCATGAAACCAGAGACCTAGTGCTGACTATTGTGCCCGAGTACAAAGTCTCGACTTTTTACTCAGGTACCGGCACTGTGCCTGAAATTCTAGAGTGGTTTCTTGAAAAAAATGTTTGTTTGTGTACTTTCAAATTTTATGAGCCTTCTATTTAGCAACTTCTTTCGAATTGCTTCATAACCAATATCCTTTTTCTTTTTTTCTTTCCAACAGCCAGTCATCTCTGCTCATTGGTTAAATGATGGAAAACAGTTTATGTGCTCTCATACTGAGGGCACCTTGACAATATGGAGTCTGAAAAGTGGGGGAAAGCCAGTGGAAACAATAAGACCTCATAGTGAGTGTCCTCTTTGAAGATGGGAAAAAAATCCCCTGACAGGGGTATGGTGGTGTCTTGTCTCCTTTGCAGTGAACGAGGCCTATTAGTGGGGAGGGGGTGGGGGTGGGGGAGTATCTAATGTCCCTGGTCTGGATGTCAGCAGCTGTTGTCTCATGTATTGAGGAGGAAGTTAATTCTTGTCAGTATTTTAACTTATATTAATTGTTGTCGCACTTGTCTTTGTTGCACCTGCAGTTTCAACCCAAGTCTCTCTTGATGAAACCTTTGTGCTCTTAGAGCACATGTTGAAGTAAATATTGTTTATACCAGAAAAAATCCCATCTTTGTGTCATTTGTCCCCATTATTCTCTTAGGGGTATGTGGTAGATTTGTGACCATGTTGCTTGTCAGAACTTTACCCTTACGGTACCCTGTGAAAGGCACTTTAGCATTTTTCAAATTCTAAGTCAGCCGTAGTCCAGGAAATGTCAGATGACATGTAGTTCTCTATTATTTTTACCGCATTGTTCCACATTGTTAAACTGCTTAAAGCTCAGTTTTGGTTCTTACTGGAATTGTCCTGTTATATGTGACTGTCATACATGTACTATACAGACAACGAAAATTTGGGGAGGGAAGTACAGTGCTGTTAGGCGTAGTGGTTGTTGTGCCTTGTATTACATAATGAGAGATTATGGAAGGTGAAAGAAGAACACTATTGTGCAAAATGTGCAACTATTCAATGTTATTTTGCAGAACCTTCCATTTTTTCATGAAATTGATTTGCTGTTGTAAACTTTACAACATGAAAAAATTATAGAGAGAATCAGCAGACCTGTATGGTGTTTTTATCTCATGTCGATTGAGGAACTACATTAACAAAAAATTTTCATCTCTGTCCATATGTTGTGGTTCAGTTTTATCCTTGGTTAAATTTTACTCTCCTTTGTTTTAGGGTACGGAAATGTATGGTAATGAGTTTGGAATCAATGAGAGTAAAATTTATACCAAGAATAAAATTGAACCACAACATATATACATGATGTGTATAATTAGGCTTTTTATTGCAATTCTTCTTTTACGCCATGTTTTTGATACTATATTCTCTTCTCCTTTCTTCCAGCAAAATCTGACAAAGCGAGACCTTGTCAAGCAATATTTAAGGTCCAATGGTTAGCTGTAAGCTCAGGGTATGTCTTTCTTTGCTCAAGAATAAAGATTACTATCTTTTTCTTAGGGTATTTTCTGAGGAGATGTTGACTAGACTAGCCGATTAAAAGGTGAAGCCATAAAAGTAATCACCTTTTTAAGTATAGGACACCTAGGATACCTACATATATTTGTTAGTCACACGTTTAACTAATCTGTTTTTATGAAATCCTATCATGTGACCTCTGTGTGGTTCCAGAGAATATTCTTACACATCGCACAGAGAATTTGTTTAGCTTCCAAGGGGGATGGGGCGGGGGGGGAGATTAAATGACAATATTATTTTGAAAGGAAAAATGAAGCTATAACGTAAACTTGAATTTTCAAAGGGGTGGAAGGGCGAAAGCCCCCCCCCCCAAAAAAACACTTTTTTGTCTTCAGCAGTAAATTTTTCATCATATTTAAATTTGTTGTTATACATTTGTTATGCTCCAATTTCAGGGATCCTTTTGTTCTGTTTTCTGGAGGAACATGCAGCAGTAAAAAGAAAGGGCTAACATTAATGCAAGGGAGTAGATCATTGAGAGTCTTATGCACAGACACTGTGATTGACTTCGTTTGTATTACATCAACACCGTGGGGTGAAGGTGAGGACAGTTTAATTTGGCAGTAAAGTCCTGATCAGTCCATATCATTCTTTATCAGGGCTATAAAGGAGACAACGGTGAAGTTTACTGCAAATAGTTATGGTGAGTCCTGGGACTCATCTCGTGCAAAATCGTGAATCCAAGTCCAGCACCAATGAGTCCCAGTTCGAAAAACAATAAGTTCTGCATGTAAATTGACTCCAAAACTCTGTTTTTACAGTGTACTGAAATTAATTTAGAGTCCTTCTATTTTAAAGCACAACAAAGGTAAACAGAAATATGCCTAGTTTAACAACAGCCATAATAACTACCACAGAAATGACACAAACAGGATATTCTACAAAAACTCATCTTCAGATCGATCGATCGATCTTTGTGTCCCACAGGACACATGCCATGATTTATTTTGCATCTTTGGAGATTTTCAGGCATAAGGGAGGCGGCATGCAGAGGTAACAAAATCACTGTGTACAGTGTATTATTGAGTAAATGAACTTACAAAAGTTTATCATTGGCAATGTACATGTGGGGAAGACTTTGCATGACAATCCTGTACACTTTAGGCAGCAGAGAGCTGGCATGAAAACCTCCAAGATATAAATCGCAGTTAATTCCCATCTGCGGCTCAGATTTTTTCTGTGTCCTCTTATTGTTGATTCTTTACATCTCCCTTTATTTCCTTTATTGTATCAGTGGCATAGGTTGGTTGGTGGGAGGCTTAATCATTAGAAACCAAGAAAAATGTTTTAAGCAAGGATGCAAATGTACACTGTACAAGTACTTGTAACTGTACTTAAGAATTTGCAAGATATTATATTACATATACTAAGTATCTGGGAGTATGTTTAACCATATACCCTTCTCATCTTCCTTGACAGATGTACAAGATCCAAAAGCTGTTGTGGTTCTAACACCAATAAAGATCTTGGTATATGACCTTCTTTCATCCTCTGCGAAGTATGTTATTTTTGATAGTCACCTTTCTTTTCTTATCCTGCCTCCATTATACCTTGGCACACATTGTAATGATAGGTACATGCAAGCCTTTGTACTATATCCTCTGGACACTTATACAATCCTTCCCCTCACAAAAAAAATAAACAAATAATAAAAGTGAAAACATACACACACTTGTGGGCAGATAGAAAAAGGGGAACATATTTTCTCTGCGGTATGACCCTTGGGATTTTTTGTGGTGACCAAAGTTGGCATGCAGAGAGATTTTTACATGTTCCATTCAAAATTATAGTGGTAACATTGGCACAAACATAACAGTGACTTATGACAACAAAAAAGCAATTAACCTCATTTGAACAAGAAATAAACTTTGTTTTAATACTGCCAATACCTTCAATTTTGTATCCTTTCACTAGGATTCTAAAATTTCAAAGAATGTTGATCAGTACAGAATAAACTTTGGCTAAAGATCCAACCCTAAGCTGCTGTAAGCTGATGTCAAAATGAGTTTGTAGGAATTCTTTGGAGTCAAGGATATAATATTTGGCTTAGTTTGTAAACTCTGCATACATCCTCCTTGTGACTGTATGCATGGACGCATGGCTCACTAGCTGGAGGCAATTATAATTATGTTCTGGTCTTTGCAGGCCAACAGCCTTGGAAGTTCCCTATGCATTTAATGTTCACGAGTCTCCTGTTACGTGCACACAGTTTTATAGTGAATGCCCTAAGGATTTCATAAAAGCACTGAGTTCTACAGCCGTTAGTCGCACAAGAAAGAGACAGTTACAAAGGGAAAGCAGTACACCTCAGGTTTGTTGAGAAAAGCTCTGCTATAAATCGGTGTCGGCAATTTTTACATGCTTGTAGCAAATCAAAATTGTGTTAAAAAACAGAGTAACAAAATAATTGTCTCATCATATGTTTGTCTGCATCAGTGAAAGGGTACCCTGCGAGCAGAGTCTCCTTCGATCTTCCTCCAGGAAGATCGAAGGAGTCTCTGCTCGCAGGGTAATAAAAGGGTTGACCTCTGAACTCTGCTAGATGCATATTTCTCTGTTGGTTCTGTACAGAATACCTGGGATGATTAGTGAATTTCTTGATTGTAGGAATACATTTTAATTAAAACTGTATACTACATGTACAGCTCATTAAGCAGCCATCCTTAATTTAGCAGCTAGTTTCCAGAGTCCAGGCTGACAAAATCACAGTCAGTAAATTGCTGAAAACAGAACCGCTATTGATCAGCTGACCTTGATTAAGTGGCCACTATTCCCTTCCCTGTTGCAGCATGTGTAGTTACATGTAATAGGTGTTTGACAGTATATTAACATTCTCACTACTATATGATTTTCTCTTCATTTAATGAAAGCCATGGCCAATTTCTGGAGGAATTTTAAGTGAGCCATCAGAGAGTGCCACTGCAGAGCTCATAGTAACTGGGTGAGTGTTTTATCTTGTTGTGTCACTCTCAGATCAAGCATGGTTTGGAAGTTACAGGTTGTACTGCTGCTGTTGTGACTGGTGCTGTAACTTAGTTACACTGAGTACTCTAAAAGTGGTTTGATTTCACAAAATTGACAGTTTTGGGAAGCTTGCACATGCACACCGAACAGATCAATTAACAGTGCACAACAAAAGCACTGCTTTCTGGGCTGGGTCTAGCAATTTTTATTACAAGTTGTTCTGAGGAGAAATTAATCAACTAAAGCTTTATGCTACCAGTGATGTACTCCTTTAACTTCTGGCCCAAATTTCATAAGGAGCACTTTTGTAGGCTGATTATGTTGATTTGTCTCAAGTTGAAACATTTATAACCTATCCCTTTGGAGGAGTCTATGGAAGTTTTGAATTGTGGGTGGGAGTCCAAGGTATCCAAGGGTAAAAATCTGAAACAAAAGAATGAGGCTTGGGAAGATGTCGGCTTGTTAGGGTTCCATAAAGAAAACACATTGGATGGTGGCCAGGTCTTTTATACAGTGCAGTGCAGGGAAAAAAAAAAGAATTTCAGCATGTCTTTAGCAAGCAGCTCATGTTTTTGGTTGCCCAGGGCAACTTCTTTCTTGTGGTAGCTAACGATTTAGTTCAAGGATGACATTACCTGGACCATTGCTGTTGGGTAAGTGAGCTTTAGCAGTTACTTGCCCAGCAAAAAGAACTACTTGTCCTGGGTGACCAGATGGGGCTTTTTGCGAGCCCTGCAGTGTACTTCCAGTCTAAAGCCAGAATTTCTTTATCATTTCAGACACTCAGATGGGTCAGTAAAGTTCTGGGCTGCCAAGTCAGGTAGTCATCAAACTCATGTCTGCCAGACATTGTATCATTACAAATTGAATTGTGCTTTAAAAATATCACATTATTAATTTCTTAATGTAGCTTTCCAATCAAAGATGCCAAACTATTTCCCTCATAGTTTTCATCTCCCTTTTTTGCGGATCCAAAGTTCTCATCTGTTTTTCCTTTATGGTGCGTTCACTCTCCTTAGTAATTCCTAAAAGTTCTAAAATTACAGGTCAACACAAAAATTATAATTTGTTATCTCAAATTACATTCTTGAAACTACCGTAACAAAAGATTATTATCATGTACTCTTGCAGACAGATACGTTTCATAAACACAGTCACACAATACTTAAGATTTTGTCTACTGGAGGCCTAAGTGCTACGCTGTAGAAAGTTATGTTTTTATTGACTGAAATAAGGTATTGATTCTGGAAAGAAGGTTAAATCTTGGCAGATGCTAGGCCACATGTTGAAGTACATGTAAAAAGTCCCAGGCACAAGGCTGCTTGCTTGTTGTAGCATGTGAGATCGTGTCAGTTTTGGGACAAAATGGTGCTTTCCTATCACAACATTCTAATGTCATCCACACAATGGCTCTTTTAGAGAACAGTTATTATATTAGGTCCTTTTGACAAACTAAAAAAACAACAAATAGACAAACAACTTTATTTCTACTTTACACAGACAACTAAAAAAGTTACAAGAAATATAATTATAATAACAACAATACATACAGTAGTTGCATGCTCAAAATAACTCTAAAGCTAAACTAGCTGGGTGACCATCGTTATAATAAGGAAAGAGGCATGACAAACACATTAATAAATTTTGTACACATACATATTATAAACTGGTACAAAAGTACATATACAGGACAAAAAGAAAAGAAAAAAAACAAATATCAGTAAAGATTAATAGAAAAACAACATAAATTGACACAACACCAAACAAAATAAAGAAAAAAATGGTTAGAATTTGCGTTAAGCCATAAGCAAAAAACGTGTCATCTGCAGTGAGCAAAAAATGTCTGCCATCTGTGCTTGGCACTGACCATCATTTTCGTGTGATGTTTGTGAGGATAAACCCATAACTGAACAGCAATCAATGAGTCAACGTGTCCTTGTTTTCCTTACAGATGTCCTAAAGTGTCTCTACAAACTATCGACAAGTAAAATTTTTGAGAAAAACACAAGTACAACAGAAAACAGTGAAACCAATGGAAAGGACCCACCATCTGAAGGAAGCTCTGGTAATAACAATTCAGAAAGTTGCCCGTCATCAATGGTGGACATTGATTGCTTTGCTGTAAACATGGTGGAGCTGTGTGTGCGAAGTAGGACTCTGCTAGTGGCTGGTAGTAGTCATGTGATAGTGTATCAGTTTAGCATGACAGAAGAAACATTAGAACTTGTGGTAAGTGGTATAGTTGTTAGTGATCTTATGCAATAGGACGGTGGAAGGAAGCAGGCTTCATATCAGGTGCTTGGAAGTTATACATGCGAGAGAGAACAAGGCACGTGTATGTCCTCCTCACATGCTTCAAACTTTCTTGGGCCATATTGTTTTCAAGTGCCTGCTACCTAAAGGAAGAGGATGGCAAATGTTTGTGTGTGACAAATGTGACAGGGCTCTTATTTCCATGTTTGTTGTGATCTTCACTTAACGTTACTATGTTCTTGTCTTTTACAAAAAGGTCTGTTTAGGAAGGTGAAGTTATTTTGGTGAAGTTTTCAAACATAATTTTTGTCATGCTTGTCGCACATTCTCTCCTCTGCCATCCTATTACATAAGTTCACCAGTGTTTCATGTCCCTGGTCTTATTCCTTCTGCATCAGTGATATGATAATACGTGAAACATCCTAACAAGATAATTAACTAACAAAGGACTGAGCTGTCACTAAGACTTAAAGATGCTGGATTTACATTTATTCGGTTTGTAGCTGGGAGTTGAATAGCTAGGAGGTTCTTTTGGTTCTGTTTTCTTTTTGATCCCTATGAGAGTAGCCAGGTATCATGCCAGGAGAAATCCCTTGCCCTTGCCTCTTAATGGCAGTCCTGTTACAGTAACAGTCAGCTTTATCTGCTAGGATAGTATTTCTGCCTAGAGGGAGAACTCGCACTGCTATGAAAGTGAAACCAGTATATGAAAAAAATACGTCTATGACATAGGGGTTTCATTCTTAATTATTTTACCACAAAGGAGCATGCTACAGAAATTAGTTTTGACTCAAAATTGTTTTGCTATTAATTTTGTGGTATTAAGTCTTGTAATCATCATTGCATCATCAATACCACCACCATCACCACCACCACCACCATCATTATCATCATCATCATCACCACCACCGCCATCATTATCCTCATCAACATCATCACCACCATCACCACCACCACCGCTACCACCAACACCACTACCACCACCATCATCATCCTCCTCATCATCATCATCACCACCACCACTACCACTACCACCACCACCACCACCACCACCACTACCACCACCAGCACCACCTTCATCATCATCATCGTCATCGATGTTATCATCATTATTAGTGTGTGCCTGAGAACCTTCTTGTTTCTTGTCTTCTGGTTGGATGTGCTGAAATAGTTGTTTGAAATCATTTTCTTCTTTGTTTGTAGCAAGTTGACATCAGCATGATGAATGATCAGAATGCAGACTTGTCACCAGATTCTGCTGAAGTCTCAAGCCCAACTGATGATAAAGGAGAGGGCCTGGTGCTAAGTCTAACCTCAAGCTCTATGCCTGCATTGTCTCCAACTCTAACCTGTAAGACTGGTTTGTACAAGAGGTCTCCAGGATTTCAGCCATCTGTCTGCTGTATGGTTCTTTCCTCAGGATCTGATGTCATACCTCCAAGCAACTTGGCAGTCAGCTCAGACTTTGGAGTGTAGGTTCAAATACCATTCTGTCAGTGAAAGTCTATGACAATTAATATTGTGCAGGTTTCTCAGGGCCTGTCTAGAACTAGTGATTAATGCTTTATTCTGTATCAGCTTATCGGCATCCACGAGAAAACTGGGGCACATCTGTTTTAGACGTCTTCACATCTCTACTTCTTTACCTCTACTTTTCATTTCCAGTTATTTTTCTAATTTTTTCCCTGTCACTTTGGTTTTTTAGCCTGACTATGATTAATGCAATTATCTAATATATTATAATAATTACTGTAACTCTGCCATTGACTTTGCATACATACTACTGTTTATACTTTATTGTAATAATTAATTGAGAGAGCCTATTCCTTATAAGCCTGGTGGTTTCCTTGGGCTTTTGCATCATTAGATTTTAACATTTAGTGATTTCTTTTTTGTGTATTATAACTTATGGCAAAACAATGAACTTGAACTTGAATGATGACAGTGACCACTCCCATTTACCCAAGTTGTTATTTTTGCTGTTTCCATTTACAAAATGGCATTTTTTTTTTAAGCTCGTTTGTTTCCCATTATTTAGCATTTCCATCAGTAATGGCCCTTCTCTGGCTCTGGTTGACATCATTCAAAAGAAGCTTGTAACAGTTTTGTCAGCACAGGACATGAGTGGTAAGTACTAAGCAGCAAAACTCTTCACTTGGCCGAGAACCCTAGTTTGGATTGAAAATAGGAAACATGAGCAAACACGTCTTTGAGCACGCGAACCGATGCCAATGCTACATGATGCCTTATTTCTTCCTTGACGCTACTAAATTTGGATTGCTAAGTTTCTTTACTCTTATAGAGACAATTGCCCGAACATTTGAGCAGAACCACCGCCGAAGAACGCAAAAATTCCACTTCTGATTGGCGTGTGTTGCACAAAGAAGACTTTGCTTAAACTCCCTTAATTGATTTCAATTCTGCTTTCCACTTTATATTAATTTCAATAAGAAATATGATGTGGTGCAGAATTTTTTATTAAAAGTCCTACAGTCTCAGACAAAAGTAGTTGGGATACTTCCACCCAATGCTGTTTTTTTTTTTGCTTCTGGCCCGTCCCCTCGTCCTACAAATGTTATTTATCGCAGTTAACCCTCCAAATCTTGCACACCAACATTGGGAGGGAAAAAAGATAGTTAAGCGTGCTAACAATTCTGACTGAGATTGTAGGTTTGTAAAAGAAATGTTTCCTTTGCTTCTCACAATTTATGCATTCATATACCCCTGAAATGTCCATACCCCCCCTTCACGGAGTGCACTTTTGCTCAAGACCCCCACCGCCTGGTATTTCCGTAATTATTCAACTTGATTGGGTACTCTTTGGAAATAATGTTTGGGTCAAAAATATTGTTGCACGATATCATTATGCCAAAGATAATTAATGTTTGTCTGTGATAAAGTGAGAAAAAATATTTATACTGTGTCTTATAATCTCAAGGACGTTCTAAGCTAATAATTAATCATAGAGGCGATACCTGATAGGCCACTTACATGATGACGTCATTTCACTACAGAATCCTTTAGGGTTTTGCTTTCTTGTGCAAATAGGGCTTTTGTTATTTAAACCTCACTGGGAGTACAACATTTTGATATGAAAGAAAACACGAAAAGGATTCTGTTCTGGTCTTAGTAGTAAAATGACGCTATCGTGCAAATGGCCTATTACACTACTGACTAAAGGAATAATGTCATCTGCAAAAGAACCAGTTACTTTCAAACTAAACACCACGTGAACTTTCATTACTTCATTTCAGTTAGAAAATGTTACAAGAAGGCTTAGAACACGACCAAATTACGGTGAATCAAACGTGTAATAAAGCAACAGCTAGATAACCGGAAGCTTATTCACGAGGCGATGTCAGTTGTATTAAAGAAAACTATCGCGTAAGCCGTGAAAAAAGCATTTAGCCGACTGTAGATAAAAGATTATTAATGAAAACAATACTTGTTTTGAAACACCGGTAACAGTAAACTAACTGATAGCATGCTCAACAGAGATGTTATTTATTGAATGACTCAGCAATCTTACTCAGACCCCCTGGAAGGAAAAACTCTTTAAGCAACCCACCCACCCCCTCGGAAATTACCTCCTTTCAGACCCCCCTCCCTTGGAATTTCCGTCGCTCTCCGTTGGGGGGGGGGGGCATGAGTATTTTCGGGAACTACACATTGCATTTTTGTGGTCTAAAATGGACCAAAAACAAGTCAAGCTAAACAGGTCTGTGGCAAAAAATTCTTTGCAGCTGTGTCAGATTCACCGTCAGCAACAGCGACACCATCTGCTGGCCCAGCGGTTGTAACCGGCACCCCCCTGACATTCACTATCAATGCTGATGGCACAGGAGGAGAATTCCAGGTTGATGCCGGCTCAAAACCCGAAAGGAGGAAGAGTCGTCCAATCCGACCTCCTCCCCCAGTGAGAAGGCTGAGCGCTAAGCTGGGTGATCAAAATGGCAGTGAAGCTGTAGATGGTTGGTTACGATCAAGAACGTCAAGCGCTCCCGTGCTGGATCCTGGTCCTCCTGATAGCATCAGTTGTGTACGATTTGCATGCACGTTTACCAAAAAGAATGGTATGTAATGTTACATCAGATAGTCCGTGTGTGTCCTGTTATACGAGGTATCCCGTGATTGGCATTTTAATGAATGACGGAAGTGTTTCATACAAGTGATTCTTACTGTCGTCAACCTTTCTAAATAACGGTGCGTTAAAGTGCAGTATTTATTCTGTCTAGTACATGAAGGGGCAGCAAAGGTGGTTTTCTACAAGGACTCGCCTGATTGACGGAAACTAGAAAGAAAAGTGGGTCCCCAGCTCCACGACCACGAATCTTTCAAAAAAATTTTAAGAATACTAAAACGGCCTTAAAACGTATACCTAAGATTTTATAAAAATATTAAGTAGCTTAAATATCTATGAAATTTGCTTGTTCTCGCCAATCATCTATTTTATTTAGTTTTTGTTAGCCCTTGGTGGAACCTCACTGCGCCCAAACTGTGAGCTGGAACGCAAACCCCTGAGTGATCTTTTAATCGCTGCATGTCTAAAATCTCGTACGTTTATATTTTAAGCTACTCTGTGTCACGTTATCCCGGTTGAATATTTTGCAGACAACTTGGTGAGCCCGTGTCTGTGGGTTGGAACAGCCCTTGGTAATGTGTTTGTTGTGGTGCTTAACTTGCCGGTCCGAGAGGAAAGAGATTCACAACCTGTGCTATCTATAACTACAGGTACGTAATACAGAAGGGTTCCGTGACAATGTATCAGTGCTCCAATGTCTTATTATCTTTGACTGTAGAATATGTACATCACTGATTGAAGCCGACAGAGCTGATAGGTGCTCCTGTTTCTTGTATGAGCTTCGGACATAATTTATAGTCGATTTACAATTTAGATTTAGAGGTAACAAATCCACCCAGTGGTTCTTCGTCTACCTGATTCCTGATCGAATTGCAATTTGGAAATGTAGGTTTTTGAGGAATGGGGAAAACCGGAGTACCTGGAGAAAAATCTCTCTGAGCAAGGGAGAGAACTAACAAACTCAACCCACATATGGCTTCAACGCTGGGATTTGAACCCGGGCCACATTGGTGGGAGACGAGTGCTCTCGCTACTGTGCCACCCCTCGAAACTGGGTCTACTGGAAACGGGGTTTCACCTTCATTACAGGGTTAACTCTTTAAGCCCCAAGATCCACATACAAATTCTCCAAACGGATCTCAATACATTTCCTTACAGAATTAGTTGAGAGAATTTGTTCAAAGATCAAAGCGTTTTCCCATAGGTGATCATTTTATTTATTCTCATAACCTTTACCCTGGATGATGTATTGATTTTGTCGGGAGAAAATCGATGTTGGTCGCTCTTGGGACATACATGCTGAGGTAAATAACATGTGGTTTTGATCACGTTACAGGGTCTTTATTCCATCCTAAAGCAGGCGTGATTCAAAGCATTGTGATCCTTGATGGTCAGGGTCATCTCTTTCCTTCGCCATTTCAGTTTTGGAAGGAAAAGGATTCACACCAGAACAAGAGTAAGTATGCGCCGCTTTGGGAGTAGAGCGTTTGTACGTTACTCGAACAGCACAGTTGCTAAATGTCATTTTCTTACTTAATAAACAAGTTAAGGAATATTGATTGCTGCATTCCAATACTGTTTACAACTAAACCATTTCTTATATCACATTCACATTAGCTCTTAAATCGTATTGAATTAAACTGGGTCTTAGTTCTCATCGTTGGTTTTTCTTGATGGAGGCATAATTTTTCATCCCAATTTCCCTTTTGTCCACTTCAACAACTTTGCTACTTGTTCTTTGTTGACGACAACGGATCGAAAAAAAGCGCGAAAAACCGCGTTAGGGTAGGTTTCACTTTTTCACTTCACCTGGAACAATCAGGCTATGTTGGAATTTCTTCAAGGTTTCCTAAAATTAATTTTATAGAAGTAGTTCTTTTGATTAACCCTATACTTTTCAAAATGGGCTTTCTTCTCGTTTTCAGGAAACTCGATGATGACAAGAGAAATATTTGACAGGCATTTTGTTGTCATTTGTACGGAACGAGAAGCCAAGGTCAGATAAAATTTTGCATGACGTAATAAAAGTTTTAAAAAGGAAGTCAATACTGTGTTACTGGCATATGCAGAGGGGTTTTTAAACCAAAGATTAGAGAACAAACTAAACCAAAGAACTTTCGTTGGGATTCTATGAGCGCGGGAAAATGCGTACGACTAAGTCACGGTTAGTTCAGGCTTACTTTTGATTAGCTAAACAAGTGACTTAAGATATAATTTATTCCAACAAAAAGCTGAAACTGTGAAAAACAACGCCGTAGCGAAATTTCTTTTGACATTCAGTTGAGGACCACTCTATTTACCATGTTTACTTTTAAGAATTTTGTTTGGCAATAGGAGTGATGTATTAAAGCCAAACATTCCGGGAAGAAATTCATGTTTCAATGCCATTTAGCGCTATGATTTCTTTTAGTGGTGGAGGGGAGGCGGGGGGGCGGGGGGGGGAGTTCACCTGTTCGCAAAATTATATCCTTAAACTGATCCCTTAGCAGGGATAAGATGAACAGATCACACGAAAGAGTATATCTGTGAACATTTTGCCACTGAGCTAATGCTGAAACCTAAAATAACATTTATTTACGTGAACATTGGACGTTGCAACTTACTAATATCCATTGAGATTAAGGCTTTCGGGCCATGTTTTTTTGGGGTTGGTTGGTTGTTTTTCTATTGTACTTGTGGCACCAGAGGTGATCGTTTGGCCATACTAAGAATTATGTCAAATACAAGTCAAGAGTAAACATCAGAAAGCATAATTTTTTTCCCGATGGCACTGCTGATTAAAAGTAAAATAATAACTTTGTCTTGTTTTTGTTTTGTAATGTTTAATTTAAAGGTGTACTCATTGCCGACAAATCAAACAAATCCAAAGAGCTTTTCCGAAGCAAACCTCCTAGATGATGACTCCGCCGTGTTACTCAAGGCAGCTGCTGTTGTTGTTGAAGGTAACAAGTCAACAAGACCTTTTTTACACTAATGATACTACTACTGGCCAGATGAAGCAAACACAACGCAACGTCAAATAAGAACGTGAAAACGCTCTGAAAGGACTGAACAGAACCTCAGGGTGCTTAGCGTTTTGCTGTCTTTGGTGACGTTGTCTTTGCTAAATATGCTTACTATTTCCACTGGACAAAGTTTTCGACATCTTTGTCACATGTTTTTCACAAATTTTTGTGCGTAATTTGGTTACCCACGAAACACCTACGAACCCCTTACGAACTCCTCTGAAAGTGTTTGTACGTGTCCAGATTAAAGTGAAATTTGGAAGTGTGGGTTTTTTAGGGAGGAGAAACCGGAGTACTCGGAGAAAAAGCTCTTGGAGAAAGGGCGAGAATTTAGGGTTAGGGTTGACACCAACCCTAACGCAAACCTAACTCTGACCCTATCGCAAAAACAGCATTATTTTTAAAAAAAGATAGTCCCCGACCCTGCGTTGTACTAACACCCGAACCCAGGCCACATTGGTGGGAGGTATATGCAGCGTGCAAAGAAAGTAGTGTCCGATAGCCCGGGGCTAGTGGATTTTGCTATCGGGCTAGTGAATTCTATTTTTAACTTGCCCGACGGGCAAGTGATGTTTTATGAGGAGTTTGAATAACAAAAGAACAAAGCGTTTTTGGGGCTAGTTGAAATGACGTCTGGGCTAGTAAATGCTAGCTTCAGCTCGTCCGATTGGCAAGCTGTAAAAATGTTTTTCTTTGCACCCTGGGTATATGTCCTCTCGGCACTGCACATTGTTGTTCATCTAATGGGTTTGGTTGGCTCCTTATAGTATAGAACCAGTCCAGATCCAGGTGGTTTTGAGGGCAGTACCGTGTCTCCAAACTGATCTATATATTCCCCTAAAGAATTAGTTGACAGAATTTGATAAAATATCAAGGCAGTTTCACTTTGGTGATCATTTTGTTTATTCTCATAACCTCGTCTCTTGACAATCTTTGGATATTGTTAGAAGAAAATTGATGTTATTCACTATTGGGGCTTGAAGGGTTAAAAGCTTTGATTTCTACTACTGTATGTAATTGCGCGACTCCGCCGCCAGGGCATGTTGAATTTTGATTGGATCACACGAAACCCATCAAAGTTTTTAAAAATGTATAGAAAACGTGCCAAAAAGATGTCGAAAACTTTGTCAAGTGGCACCGGTGGCCAGATCTTCGCTGTAGCAGATAAACCTTAATTCCTGTTTCCGTTGCTCAAGCCTTGGCATATTCAGACACAGGCTAATCAATATCTTCTGGTTTTGATGTAGGAAGCAGCTGCTTGTTGTGTCTTACTAGTCTAGGAAAGGTGCTTGCACTCAGCCTACCAAACCTATCACCGCTAATGGACGTAGAATGCTCATTCCTTTTGAAGGAGTACAGGTTGGTACTGTTTCACTAGCGGGTGGGATAGGGTGTTGATTTGCCCAAATGGACGTAGAATGCTCCTTCCTTTTGAAGGAATACAGGTTAGTACTGTTTCAGCTAGTGGTTGGGTGGGTGTTGGTTTGCCCAAACCTATATGGGCGTAGATTGCTTCTTCCTTTTTATCTAGGGGTTGGGGTAGGGCTCGTAATTAGTCTGCAAGGGAGCTCTCTATTTAGAGTGCTAGGGAAGTAGTGCGTGTTTCACGCGCCAGCGAGCTACGAAAGAATTGAGGGTGGGGTGGGACCGGAAAAGGGGGCTCTCCTGTCTCGACGTCTCAATTCGGTCGTCGCTCGCGCGTGATCCTTCGCCTGACGCGAATCTCAAATGGAATACTTGCTCACAGACTATCTTTTACTGTGCCCGGCAAATGTGCTATTCCGTCACATACCAGACGTTTCTCGATGTATGACGATTAACTCAACTTTTAACTGGTTCCCATAACAAAAACTACGCATAGTTCGTTTTTAAGTTGTTTTTCTTTGCTTAGATTCCTCAGGACATTGGTATTTTCTGACGATGCCCAGGCATTGATTTTGTGCTCGCCGTTCGAAATCCAGCGGCTTTCGATGTTCGTCAGACCAGGGTAAGTGGGAATTTTATGTTAGTGTCCATGAATTCATGCTTCTGAATCTGAATTTTTTTACCCGTTCAATGTGAAACTGTATTAACTGAACGTTACTGTGCACTCGGTTACACTCATGTGATTCGTACCTTTTTGTATCTGAGCGCTTTCCAAAAGTCATAACTGGCCGGCGGACCAATCATTTTGAAAGAAAAATGTAACTGCGACGATCATTTCTTCATTTTCAAAAATGTAACCCTTACTCGAAATTTTCCCTAAATCCCACCACTGCTGAGTATACCATGTAAGAATACACTGATCTTGCTGGTTAGGTTCGATAAATAGTGGAATTCTCTCTACAATTGGAAAGCGCCCTTAGTTTTTGTTCCATACCAAGATGAGAATTGATTGCCATTCCGTTTGAATTATTTCAGGACGTTAACAGAAAATCAAGGATCATTATTCCGTGCTATGGAGACACCTGAACCTCCCAGTAAAGGCTTTTTCAGCAGCTTGTTTAGCTCTGCAGCTTCACCTCTTGATAGGGAACAGCTTTGTAAGTGTTCTTTTAGTCAATCATATCCGTTTCTTAATCCTGTGGCAAAATTTATTCAAGAAATAATCTATCCAAAGTTAAGTCAGTCAGTCCGTCAATCCATTAGACAGAAGCAATATTGCATTTTCCCAATACACGTTATTTGACGGTGCAGCTGAGTTGCCAATCATGCCAACAACGCACGAATCTTTTTTTTTTCGGACTGAACATGGCGGTTAGTATCGAAGAAATGAGGATTACTCACAGGTAGTATTGAAGATTTGAAGAAGAGCTCGGTAACGAAGGAAAAATTTAACGGTCCTCTCTTCAGTTTTTAGGATTGCTTTACATGTGGTTTAGGCCGATTTGAATGGTCACATGGCCTTAACTAATTCTGGTGTATTTCACGTAGATTACAGTGTGCAACAGTTAAGCAGGGTCAAGCGTACGTTAGTAGTTGTAGATTTCAGATTCATCTCTGCTTTCCTGCATGTATAATGAGCAGTGAATTCACACACGAGATAGTTATAGTACACTGTTTTTAAATGTGATGTAAATGTCTTCATATAGGAGCCTGCAATGTATTATATATGCAAAGGTTTTTCAATCTGACCGAATACTGAGCAATACTAACGGGTTCATTTTTCAAATAATCAGTTCATTAATAGAAATTATGGGGAACGTTTGTTTGTTTGTTTATTTGTTTTTCCCTGGGGTTGTTGTTCAAAGCACTTTATGTCGTGTCTCTCTGAAAACAGTTTTGTCATGTCTCGAGTTGCTATTTTTCCCGAGTCGAACATCGAGCTCTCGAGAACTCTGCCTCGAGGCCGGACACTGTGTACAGTTGAACTTTGGCTAAAGTTGTTGTTTTGCTTTTCCTTCTGGCAGTCGGTACAGAGAGTGGAAATGCGTCTCGTAGTCTGACAGATCGTTTTAATGGCCCTGGTATGGAAAAACTACAGGAAACGTCCAGCGGATTAGCTGGTGTTGTGGCTAGGAACAAACAGGTGAGGTTCTGTGAGACAGTTTGTTACTGGCTGAAAATAAAATAGTATTAAAAACAGGATTGGAGAAATTATCCTAGAAGTCTGCTTATTTCTCGATTCTTTTTCTACTGGGAATAATATATAATGCGCGAAAGAAAAAAGTGTAAGAACAAAATAGGAAAAAAATAAACCGTAAATAATGAGTTTTCCTTGTTGTATGGATTATCCAATACAGAAAAGAGATAAAAAAGGGATAAAGATTGGAGAGACTAATGAAGTAATTTCCTAAATAAGAGAGAGAGAAAAAAAAGAAAACGCTTTTGTTCTCTCTGTTGGCTCTATCATTTTCAATCTGTGCTGTAATATCTTATTATTGCGAACATGTAACTAATCACAATGTCGTGTTAGAAAAGAATAAGTTCAAAACAATGTGGTTTATTTCAGGCTCTCTTAGAGAGAGGGGAAAAGCTGTCTGAACTAGAACAGAGAACTGAGCAGATGAATGTTCGAGCCAAGGCCTTCGCGGACGCTGCTCATCAGCTGACTCTTAAGTACAAAGATAAGAAGTGGTACCAGGTTTGAGGCCTTGTCATGTGACCACACAGATGGGAAGCCTGTGGTAATCTGCACAGGCATGTTGCAGCAACATCGTATGATGATAGAACAGTCAACTCTTATGATCGATCGAACCCCTTTGCTGGTAGAATCGTACCCTCGGTAGAATTGAAGGATGAGGTTACAAACAGCCCCCGTACAGCAGACACTTCGCCACAACGGACACGCCGTTTTTAAGGATACGAAATTGAGAACTACTCCCGCAGCAACACTGTTGTAGTTCATAGACAGCCGTCACGCAACTCTTGTCCCACATGCTTGTTTCCAACTAGTCTAAGTAGTAAACGTCCCCGTGCAAGCAAAGCGCGAAAGAAAGGAGGCTTTTATTGATTACGGCTTGGGGAGAGGGGGTTACCAAAATCAATCTGGAGAACAGAATTTCACAAGCCACTTGTATACTCCACCCAGACTTTTGCAATTTTGGCAACCGACTCCCACAGGGATTTCCAAAATTATGTACCCCCCACCCATCCCCTCTTATAGTTGTGAAAATTGGCCCTGTCACCTCAAATCTAGAGGTTTGCTCGCGCATGACGTTTTGCTACTCAGGCTAGTTTCTCGTATTTAGTTTGTGTTAAGCGGCTTCGAAAAAAATATTCAAGTTTGTTATAGATTGTTAAACTCACCTACCCGTATACATGAAGGTAAACAGTTTTATTCCTGATTGTTCTTTTTGGGCAATGTAGGGTAGGGTACGGTGGGTAGGCTCTTTAGGGCCTGATTACATGGAGGTGGGGGACCCCATGTAGGTGATGTAACCTGCTTAGGTGGGGTAACCCACCTGTCCATATAATCTCTCGTTTTAATTTGATTACGTTCACGTGGTCGGTGGGATGACCATATGAGAGATTATACGGACAGACGGGTTACCCCACCTAAACGGTTTACCTCACCTACCTGGGGTCCCCCACCTCTATGTAAACAGGCCCTTAGACTCAGTCAAAACAAAGGAGAAACACTGGTGTAAAAATAGGAAAACGGGGTGTAATTTTGAACCGACAGATCAGTGCGCTGCTGACGACTTCGCTTAGAAACCAAGTTATTCAAAACATAGTAGAGGAGACTGGTTATGAAAGCAGGCAATCATTAAAGTTGAAAACAACGGTACTGTAGATTATGCTGGAAGCTCCCTGACCGTGCACAATTCGTTGTTTTTAGTTCACAAGTTGTAACTGAATAAATTAATGCGATGTGTCTATTGGTCAGTAAGTTCAAAATGATAGGAATGCTATTGACCGTTGTGCACGGTCAGGTCCAAAAAAGCTAACAAAAACATATAACAAAGAAGTCTAACAGGTTTCATAACCCTTCCACTTTAATAGCTATGTTCAAAATAAGCTTAGTAAGCAATGCTTCGCATGATTTGGGTTAGTTCTAAATATGTAAGGATTTTGCTCCAAAATCAATTACAAATAACGAACGAAACAGTTTTTGCCATTGCTCATCATGTATTGGATTTTTTAAACTTACTGGATTATTTAAACATTTTGCATTGAAGAGTTGCCTTTTAAGAAGAAGGCTTACAGTCAAACCAAGTCAAGCGTACCCCCCAAGATTCTATCAGTGAATTGATTATTTGAAAAATGAATCCGTTAGTCTTTCCCGTAACTGGTGTCAAATTCAAAGCGGCATTTCTGCATGCGTAATGAGCAGTGAATATTTTACGAGAACTTCTCTGTATTTGGTCAGATTGGAAATCTTTGAATGGATTAAGCTTGTTAGAAGACATTTACATCAATTTTTAGGAAAATGGAGCTGGTAGAAATTTCATAACTGCCTCCCGTGTGAATGCACGGCTCATTACACATACAAGAATGCAGAGATCAATCTGAAATCTACACCTAGCAACGGATTCAACTTTTGAGTAATAAATTCATTAATGGGTTCTTGGGGGGTACGCTTGACCTGGTTTGACTGTAAACGGAATGTTTGAAACAAAATGTTAATCATTCTAGAAAGGAACAGTGTTTCCTTCTGTTGTAAACAGTTTCTTAGCTTGTTTGTTAATAGATTATTAGTAAGAATGTAACACGATTCTGTGCGTAGAAAAATTGTAACATTGATGTTAATACACTGAGTATTGTGTAAAAATGTGTAAACGTTAAATGGTGTATCTAGATATATAGGTATCAATTATAGAGGATAGGTATTGATGAAGTACTGTAGTGAACATTAAACGGAGAACAGAATATGTGAATTTCTCTCAATGTAAATATAATCTTTGCTAAATGGCAAGGGAACTGTCGCTTAAAGAAGGCACAAAAAACTGCCATTACCTTACTATAACATTATATGGAAAAAAAGAGAACAGTATTAATCCTTACTTAAGACGTCCTTTTTTAGAGCGAGAGAACTAGTATCCCCAAAATGTTCGTGGAAATTACCAGCCTCGAGGAAGAACGGAAAGCGGAGAGAAAATGTAAGCGGCCACAGAATTGTGAGTAGCTTGTTTCCTCGAGGTGGAAATTTTCATTCGCGCGCGCGTGGACGCGTGGCTCTTTAATGCAGGTTTAAACAGCCTGACAGTGCCTTTGAGGGATTTCTTTTTGGTCTGGTTTCAGAATTTTTTTTTGTCTCTTGCATGTTCTGGGCTTTTATCTTAATTTCCTACTTCAACATACATACATTGATACACACATAATCTTTATTTAAACTGGAATTTTAGTGTAGCTACACTATATAGCTAATATCTTCGAGGGACAAAATTAAGATCTCTGAGACTGGACAACAACACACACACACTAAACAAGACAAAAATTATTTTAAAAAACTAATCAAACGTATTGAGACTTTGCACACGTCGCTTAAAATCAGAAGGGTGTAGTCCATAGGTTGTCGTTCTTGGCTTTCCTAGAGTCAACATAAGGGTACCGCGAAAATTATAGTCCTTCGTCTTTTCGTCGCAATTTTGAAAACAGCATTAAAATTGTGTTTCCTCCGCCATATATTTGTCTCCAGCCCCTTTATTTTCTGAGCTTGTTCCCAAGAGCTCAGGATGAATTCTACCATGGTTCAAAATATTTCTTCGGTCACGTCCGCCACATGCAGAAAGGAGTTTCCAGATTACAAGTCGATAATTCCTGTTGCTCAGCACGTAAATGAAGGGATTTGCACAGCTGTTGATGAAGACAAGAAGCGAAAGTCCATGATGAAGTTTGTTATCAAGTTTCGCCTTTCCCGCCATTGCCAGCGCGTAGTTGGTCTGACTGGGCGCCAAACATACAGTCAACATCAGGCAGGCGAGACCCACCATACGCGTAATTTTCCCGCGCATTTTGGCCCTGCTCTCTGCTGAAGAGGCGGTGAACAAGGTGGTCTTGAAGACCATGTGCCCGTATAAGGCAAGCATGGTTAAACAAGGGAAAATCATTTTGAAAAAGACTTGAATTATGCCTACAATCGCCCGGGTCGGCTGTTTACCCCACAAAAATAACCACTTGCAACGCCGACTTGGTGGATTTGACGGAACGTAACCGACTTCGAAAAACGTGCTACCGCATAGAATAAGCGACCACACCCAAGCCGCGAGAATGTAAATGAGAGTTCTTTTAGTGTTAAAAGTGTTGCTGTAATTGAAAGGCTTTACCACCGCATACCAACGCTCCGTTGACAGAGCCAAGCAAATGTACGCTGAGAAAATCACAAGCTGGAAAAGAAAAACGCGATCCCAAAAAAATCTGCAGAAGATCTCTCCCATGACGTGATTAGTTGGGTACGGAAACGAGTCACCAAGAACAAACGCTGGGTTTGTAACTAAAAGGGTGGCTGTCAGAACATCTGCTATGGCCAGGGTCAGTATCAAAATGTTATAGGATTTCTTCAATAGTGTTCGCTCTCGTCCAAAGACACAAATTACTAACGTATTTCCAAGAAACGCCACTGTAGCGATTACAGAGTAAGTGATTTGAGTGAAAGGAGTTATACCAGGCATTGCTGAGGTACCTTTAGGCAAGGAAGGCGATGCTGTTGAGTTTGACGAGCTATTCATGTCAATCGGCGACTTTAGATGACAACGTCTCCAAACTATGTGATGTTAGGTACCTTCAAAGTGCCTTGTTGCTCTGACAGTATCTGGCCCGGGATTGAATGAGAAGAACTATAAGGATTTAACATGGAAAAAAAAATGAACAGGAACAGGAACACTTACGGCATTTCCTCCATACTGAACGTACAACTAGGAAGTTTCTAGACGTTTCACGTTGTAGTCGTGCAAAACAACGGCAAAGACATTTACAAAAAAGTGTGCTGCACTTGTGCTTTTTTTTTTCTTGTTTTTGCTACTGACTGTTTTAGCGGTTGCCGTTGCCGTCGCCGCTTAGATTTTGCACGATTTTATATTTTGTTCGAGTAAACTATAAATATTAACGAGAGCTTCGTTTTTAGGCTTAGTCTACTATTAGATGTTGCAAAAGTTTTCATTCATGATTTCACCTGTCACAATTTTGACCAAGCGAGGGAAGGGGAGACCAGGTTATTCATGGTGTGTGACCAAAAGCGAGACCAAGCAAAAAGCAAAGCTTCAGAAATATTTTTTCGAAACTTTTGTCGTAAGTCGAGTTTTACTACAGCAACTCGGTCGGCTGCTCCTAAAATGGTTAATTTTTGCGCCAAAACGAAACGTAACATACATGTCTGGAACTCCCTTCCTTACCCTACTGGGTTTTTTACCCCAACGTTTAAATTTATCGACTGGTTTTTGAAAAACAAATTTGAGCCTTCTACAAATGGCGATTCTGTTGTATAAAGGTCCATATTTAACACAGCGGTCAATAAATGAGTACTACAGAGACCTTTAAAGATAACAAAGACAACGAACTAACCTACCGGTTAACCAACGAATTAACCAACCCGTGCAGAAGATAATGATATAGCATAGGACAGGTAGGTGTTGGTCTTCCAGTGGAATGAAGCTGTACGTGCTTTTTTGATTGAGCGTTTCGACTGCTGGCAAACTTATTTCCTTGCCATTGACGTTCGGATCACGTACTCACCAAGAGACTATGGAAATCCATTAATTGCCTCTTCAGCAATGAATCAGTTGTCAATTGAAAGCTATAAAATATTCCAATTATACCCTATTCAGTCCTCCTCGCATATCAAACACCCTATCCTAACCGTGTGTAGTTGTGAAATCCTATATGCCTAAAGGACGATAGACAGGCTAAATTATGGTTTGAAACCGCTTTAAAAATTACAGGAGCCTATAGATTTATATCAGAAAGAAATAAATACAATTCTGAATGACAATTTGAAAATCTCTTTATGCCGGTTTCTGGCAATAAAAAATTTTCGGAAAGCAATTGTCTCTCACAATTAATTCTCTTGAAATTCGAATGAATATGTCAAGTGGCTCAAGAGAATGACATCTGCCTGTAAATGGTTTGTTCCGACACTTTGCTCACTGAAATCAAATAAAAATTAGATAAGTTGCCTAAAGCTAAATATTTTTAAACAGAAATAAGATCCGATTTTGCTAATCGCATTTTAAGAACATTATCAAAGATATTAAAAATCGCTTTTTAGGGTTACAACTAGCGGGAGTCGAAGCTTCCTCTGACACTTCAGTTTTGCTTGGTCAAAAAGACATTCAGTTAGGCTTCCAAGTTTCATCACGTTGCTTAACAACGATCGGTGCTCCAAAATAAGGCATTTTAAATTTCGTTTTGAAAACCCTGCAAAATGGTTGTAAAATGGCCTTCATAACGACTTCCGTCAGCTGCGATGGTTAGATTTGCAAGTGTTGATTTTTTCCCTGTTTTCAAAATAACTTCCTCGAGGAATACATCCTTGGAACACAATTATGCTGAACGCGTGGCGTTTGAATTGAGGAAGCTACTTAAGCTCCCACGCCTTGTTTCCAATGGAAATTCCATGATTGAAACTTAGATTAATTTGAAGGCGATTTTCGCAGGGAAAGACTAATATTTTCACCACATCTACAAGCACAGTTTCCTATTTAAATCGTGATCTGGAATCTGAGCAAAACTAGATTGTAAAAAATCTAGTCTGGCTCTAGGTGTGAATGGTCCAGTAGGGAGTAAATCAGCTGCACACGAATTCTGGGTATCAAGTCTAGCCATAAATTGATAAAAGAATTACGTTTACAATAACGACTACGAGCAGTCTCTCTTTTTTCTGTAGTCCGTCGAGCAAAACGCGAGACACACAAATGGCCACGCGCGTGACTGATGGCGCGAGACGGTAGAGGCTGCCGCCCTCGTTTCGCACGCCTCGCGGCTTCGCCTCTCCCGCGCGCGTGCATTGCTCTCACTAAATCTGAAGAAAAAGAGAGACTGTTCGCAGTCTACGCTAAAATGGAGGGTCGAGCAACTAGTAGCATTTTCTTAAAACGCATTTACAGCTTGCGAGCACACGTCTTCATTAAAAACGTTCAGCCGGTTTCAAGAGATTGAAGGTTTACCATACCCAAACTTCTCGCAAACAAACGATAAAACAAAGAAGAAAATTACGTTGTTCGAGAGGGCTTTCTGTTAAACAAAAAGTCAACGGAAGGAGGCCATTTAGGGCGAAAGAGGATATGTACTCTGGAACATTGGAACTTTCTTGGTTTAAATTCAACATTATGTCAAAGCAATTCGACCGTCAACTGACCAGTGGTCCGGCGCACATTAATTCTACCCAATAGAGTAGGGACTGGAAACGATAAATAGGTGCGAACGGGTTTTAGAAATAGATGGACAATTAGAGGCGGATAAAAATGCGTTGTCTTTAATAGTAGTAGAGACAGCAAACTGAAATAAATAACCGTTTTTTAGTCCCTGCAGCATAAAACATTTCGAAAAGATAAATAATTGCTTTAGGTTATTAAAATTAGCCTAATGATAAGTTTGTGAGCCATTTATGAGAAACATTGTCTTCCATTGTCAAATTATTATCTCTGCTCTCGATTTTATCGCCTATCTCGACAGGAACTCCGTCATAGAAAGACCAAAGACGGTTTTACCTTTCCAGTAGAATCGCGCTTTAAGACCACGAAATTTTTCCCCACGCAGTCATGTAACGCACATGAAAACGTAGCCGGGAAATTTACACGATCAGGCAATTACGATCACGCAACCAAGTAACCCATAAGATCAGGTAACCTGAAACACACCTGTTAAAGTTACTACTGACAGTAGTTCTTGAAACTGTGTTTTTTTTGAGTAAGTTACACGAGTACACGATCACGATCAAGCAACGAAGTAACGCACACGATCACGTAACCTGACGCGCACCCTGGAAGGTTACTATAGTAGCTCTAGAAACTGAGGTGAGGCAGCCACTGTTCCGTTAAGTAAGTACTGTTGATTGTTCTTGTCCACTTCTTCTATAACGTATCTATAGTTCACCATAAGTCCAAAGGAATTCTGCAATCCTCTAGCACTTAAATCCGCAAACCAGTTCAGTCTCCACATGCATGCACCGTTCCTGATGTGAAAATTTCCTGACAAAAAAAGGAAGAACAATTAAGCAAAAATAACACATGTGAGATCATTTGTGCACAAACTCTTTTCTCAGCAACTAATGTTTTAATAATATTCTCATCATATTGATGGTTTGTTTATTCGGGCTTTTGAATAATGCCTGACGGCCAAAGCTCCAATAAAAAGCACCAGTCAAACCTGTAGCCTCTCTTGAACTAACAGCTGCGTGAGAGGCCTAAAGAGACCATCAAACCCGGAAATACTTCTATATCGTCTCCAACAATATCGGGGAAAGAAATATGAATCTAATCAGAAATGATTTTTACTGCGCGGAAATTTCCATAATCCTTGGACTTTAAAAAGAAAAAATTGAATCCTATTAGAAGAGCAAGCTACGGTCACTTTTACCAACAGCTAAAAAACAGGACAGAAAATTCCTAATTCATGAGACATGTACACAGAGCAACTCCCGCAACCCTTAGCCCGTTTATGCAGAACACAGCCTGCTTCGCTGACTACGTAATGGGAAAGAAGATTGAGTAAGCTATCAGCTAGTAGTAAGCACCCCCAGATACGTGCATTTCCCACGTGACGTAACGTGGGTTTAGTTTAACGTGGTAAGATGTGGTTACACGTGAATTAATCAACAAGGAAAATTAGTCAGTCCTACGGCTTCAATCGCGTTATTGCGGTAATAATCGCCGTCGACCATGGAAGGATTTCGTGCTATGTTCAAAAATTTACGTATAATTGAAGCAAAAATTTCATCTGCTATATTAGTCCCGATAAATTAGGGAAGGTATATACCCCTTTTTCTTCATCTAGGCCTTAGATTCCAGTTTACAGTTCAGCCCATTTTGAAAATCCGTCAGGATACCAACATATTCTTGGTAAATATCTTTATTACATCTGGCCCAAGAAACCAGCTGAAATCTTGCCTTAAAACCCTAAAAAATATTCCCGGATGCTTTCATCTTAACGTGAAAATCTGCCACGTCAACACCGACCTTTCCTAAAACAGCTCGCAAGGAACCCGCTAAAATAAAACATTTTTTCTTGCGGTTTCATGTTGGTGTCTAATGAAGAATGCTAAATTGCACTGAAAATTAAAAAGATCTGTTTCAGCCCCAAAGTGTCAATACAGCCTTGCAGGCCAAAGTCTGATTCCGTCAGCCCTTCCTGGAGCCATTAGAGCACAATTTAGGCCAAAAAAGCTCAATCAAAAGGCTATTCCAACCCACGCTAGGGCCCATTTCAGCCCTGGGACCAAATCAGCGCTACAATCCCGGACAAAACTACTTGAGAAAGTTTTCCCCATCATGTCCACTTTCCTACGCAACAAAACTATTTCCAAGCCGACGCCTTTGCGGAAAGAAAACCCCTTCCCCCAATTCAATGTTGCTTCCCACAAACGCCCAGGAATCAGGCTTTCTTTTGAATACACAACAACATTGCTTTCAGGGGAAGGGGGAGAGGGAAAAACCGGTACAGCTACGATGTTTAGAAAAATGCTGTCCAAGTATACAATTTTCTCAACAGTTTTGTCCAAGATTGTAGCTAATTGGACTGTATTGGTCCTGATTTAAGGGAGCCAAATTAAACTCAAAAATAGGACTCTATTTTACTCACCGAAACGGCCCTATTTTGGGGGCTAAAACAGATCTTTCTGATTTCCAGTGTGGTTTTGCCTTGGGTATCGGCACACCCTAGCTATTTAACACGTCAAATGTCATGGGCGCTTTCGATCTTCTTTTTGACGTAGCCATAGATATTTCCATGGGGAAATTTATCTCAGGAAATTCCGGTCACATGCACTACACCAATATCCCACGGTAAAAGTGTCCATTGTGACCGCACCCGCCTATCTAGGTTTCCTTTCATAGAAGACCTAATTCACAGTGCTCAGTTTAAGAGAATAGTCTCACCAACAGGATCCATGACAAATCCTCTTCTCTTTTCTTTGTACAGATACCTGAAACGGTTTACAATAAGTTTAAGTCATAAATCAGTTTTCAATTCGATGTCAAATCTAAAAACATGCCAAATTAATTAATTGCCCCACTCACTCACAAAGGACTTGGACTATTCAAAACTTTAAGACACCACTTGAAATAACACTTTTTAAATTATTCTGTGTCTTCACAAAATGTTAGACAAATTTAGAAAGCAGCTTGAAACGAACGCACGCGTCTGGAAACGTGAGCGAAGTTTGATGTTACTTCCGATTGGTCATACTGAAAAGAGCGTGGAATTTGTAACAGACTCCGCCTCTCGCAATTAATCAGTCCATCAATTTAAAGGGGGTATGTTATGATTTTTGGGCGTCAAAGCCGAGCTTAAATCGTATTCGGAACTCTAAATGAATGATACGAAATGATTCTAACAGAAAGCGAAAACAAAGCATAATGGGTTTATGGCCATTTCTCTACAGCACAGGACTTTAAATTTAAAAAGTCACCCAATTTTTACAAGTTGTAATCCTTTTCCATACTGACAATCAAAAGCCAAAGACATGCATTTATAGCATTATTTATAGCATTTATAGTTGAGGTATAGTGCAACATAGCCTCCCACGCAGGCGTTTTTAGGGGAGTTCGTTTTTCATCCCCCCCCTAAAAACGCCTGCGTGGGAGGCTAAGTGCAACACTGAAAATTAAAAAGTGCCAATTCAGCACGGCTGGCCAAAGTCTGATTTAGCCCCTCCTGGAGCCATTTGAGCACAAATTAAGCCACAACAGCCGCATCAAAATTCAGCGCTTGGGTCCACATTAGCCCTAGGTAATTGGACTGTATTGGCCCTGATTTAAGGGAGCCAAATTGGACTCAAAAATAGGACTGTATTTTACCCACCGAAACGGCCCCACTTTTAGGGCTAAAACAGATCTTTGTGATTTACAGTGTCATGGCAGAGCAATTTAAACAAAGCTGAACCAGTTATAAGGGCATAACAATAAACTCATCTTCATTTCAAGGATTTTGAGAAGTAATTGCTTTAATAATTTGAATTGCAAGCAGCCCATCAGGTACCTGGCACACAAGCGTAGCAGAGGGGACTTCAAGCAGTTAGATATGGCTGGGTCACGATGCCAGTCACTGGTCTCCAAGATCTCCTACAGAAGGAAGAAAGATGGTTTTATGATTAACCTGCTGCAAGTCTGTCGAACATGCTATTTGCAAATGATAGACTTTTAGCAGTCTTTCCAGGTTTTGGCTGAGAAGCGTTGAGCCGGTACTTTTGAGCATGTAGTCACCATCTTGGATTATACGAAGAACGCGACACCCACACAATCCCCAGGGATTCTCATCATCAACTCACCGTACCCAGAGCAATATGTCTCATAATCCAAGATGGCGACTTCATCGATTTTTAGCGCAAAGATTGAGGAAATGTTTAAAGTCTACCTAATTAATGGGTAGCATGCCCTTTATTTTGATAAAATGGAACAACTAAGAATGAGTTATCAGCAGGAAAAACGCAGCAAAGGATGCCACAGGTATACCAACCTTGAACACTACAAGCGAAGACATGTCCGTATTTTGACGAGCTCCAAGAATCTGTTTTTGTTCATCTTCCAAAAGGAGAGTTTGGGGAAGATCATTTTCTAACAAGAAAATGAAGAAATCTTTAATTCAATTAAGATGGAAACTATGAAGCTGGTCTTATGGTGAAAAGTTTATCTAGCGACAAACAGCCAGTTCAATATGTGGATCCTGCCTTCCCGTGAACAAAGGCACCAATTCCAGGCTTGGGTTGACAACATACAGTGCTGTGTAAAAATTGTCCACCCAGCCTCGACCTTGTCTCATTAAGGTCGTTTATACGAAAGAAACAAAAGCCGCGGCTTACATAAGACGCGAAAGGGACCATTTATACGAGTACGGCTTACATAAGACGCAAACTGCTCGCAAAAATGGTTCACGGCTTATTAGTTCGCGGCCTGGCCGGTCCAAATGTTGACATACGGGAGCTTAAGCAACGACGTTTTTGAGCAACGCACGTCAACCGGAAGTGAGCCTTTTTCTCTTCTAATATGCCTTGATGCTACCAAAATATGTATGGCTAAGTATCTTTATTCTTACTGAGACGAATTGCCAGAAAATAGGGCAAAAATTGCTGCCCAGTAATGCAAAACGGCCACTTTCGGTTGACGTATGTCGCTCAAAAACGACTTTGCTTAAGTTCCCTTTAGTTTCTTTGGGTGCCTCGCGTAATTTACAACAATGGCTCCAAGATCTCCACACATTTCCTGAAAGAATTTAATGTTTGATCAGGGCATTTTCCCTGTAGTGATCACTTCATTAATTCTCCTAACCTTTTCTCTTGATTATGTAAGGACATTGTACGGAGAAAATTGATGTTAGTCACTCCTACTACTTAAAAGGGTCAATGGCTGAAGTGAGGCACCATAATGGTGTCTTGTGCAAGAACACAAGATAACAGGAAGCTTCCTCTTGAAGCAACGAGGACAACGAAGACGTTTGCGACAGGGTCTCTTAACAACTGAATTCACCATGTTTCAAAATTCATCGCTCAAGATCCAGGTCTTTCAATTCGTCAAATGTTGACGAGCTTTTTCTGGGCCTGAATTCTAAAGGACTGTATCTTACTGATCCCAAAATGAATTAGAAAATCGTTGTCTTGTGTGTTCACGTCCTCAACGAAATGTAAAATGATGCAGTTTTGCGTCCTAATCGTACAACGACGGTAAAAAAATGTGCAAAAACGCGTGATGTACGTTCAGCGTTGTTGTTTTGTCAATCTAAACCTGTTGCTTTTTTTGCCGTTTTTCGTCGCCGTTGTTGCTGTTTAAGCTCCCTGATAACCCCGGCAGGGATCGAGCCCGGACATCTTGATACGGAGTCCAAAGCACTAGCCATAAACTCGGCCACCGCGCATTCCATCAGGAGCCGTTGTTCTGAGTTCAGTAAATATGAATATTACAGGGTCCTACCTTGCTGGTCTAGAGCGTGGCTTATCTGTAGTTTAAGCCACTGTCTAAACCCAGGAATCGGAGACAATGTTGAGTACTGCGTGATGTTTGGAAACTCGTGCTGTAACTGCTCTACCACGTGTTTTATTAGAAAATTACCAAGATCTACACCACTAAGTCCTGCACGAAAACAACAACAACAACTATCATTTACCATTTCGAACCCAAGAGTATTGTCTTAGGCTATTTTAAAACTATACCGGATACCGAGTATGAACACCTATCCGATATGTGACTCTCCACTTCAGTTAGTCCGCTACAGAAATCGCGCCAAAATCACTGTTGCTATGTGTGAACAGAAGCCATAGCCAGTATGGTTTTTGTGCTGGCGCAAAAGCTATCAGGTACAGAGTGAACAAAGCCTCATTCAGCTTTTAAAAGGATCGACAATATTCGTTTACGAATCCATCTGAAAGAATGCCGAAGAGGCTTCACTTAAACCATTCACCCCCAGTACCCACATACTCAGACACATTTCCACACAGTGACTTACATAATTAGTTGGCAGAATTTCATAACAGATTAGAGCATTTCCTACCCAGCGAGCAAGCTCTCTGGGGCGCTCTGGCAGCTGGGCGGAAAAAGGAAGGAGAGCTTGCAGCTACGTCTCTAGAATTCGAATATCTACATAGAAAAAGTCGATGCGAAGACCTGATTGGCGGAGATGACGTCATTACCCTTGGCACGTGTTTTTCAATATTTGTTTGCATTCGCGATCGTTTCCGCCTCGTGCTGATTGGCGAAACTCTGACAGCTCAGTCGACGGGGAGTCACAGGGGAACTGGAGGTGGAATTCAAATTCCAGAGACCGTAGTTGCAATCTCTCCTTCCTTTTCCTGCCCCTCTGCCAGAGCACCCCAGAGAGCTCGTCGCAGGCTAAGCGCTTTCCCTTAAGTTATAATTTCATTCTCATAACCTTTTCTCTTCAATATGTATTGATATTGTAAAGAAAAAAATTGATGTTGGTCATTTTTGGGACTTACGGACTAGATCTTGGGCAAAAGAGAAAAAGTCTCCATAACCAGATTTTGGGGTCAAAACGGAGGATTCTGTCAACTAAACTAATTCCTTGTTTTTCAAGACTTGCGGCATACATTCAACCCGCTCTAAGAAGACACCTTTGGAAAGGTACTAAGTGTCCGTATTATAGAGAGTCAAATAAAGGGAGTAAAGTTAAGGCAGAGACCAACTCTAGCTGTCCGTTTTACTGAGATGTCCGTCTTCTAAAGGTGTCCGTTAAGAGAGAGTCTAGAGGATTCTGTCTGTTGCGGAACTATCTCCATATACTATAAGATGCTCAATATTACCTTTCTGCGTCGAGGTAATAGAATAAAATACAGCTGTTGTCCTCTTCTCCAGTTCATATTCATACTCGTCTCGATCAACCTCTGGTTCACTCAGTATAACCTGGATAAAAAATAAAAAGTTCTGATAACAACTATACTACATCACTGCCTTCGTATAATAAAAATTACGTGCAGCAGCAGCAATGGAGCCAATGAAATCTCCAGACTTGGTTTTCCTACTTCGCCTTACCCACGAATCACTAAGAAATGTTTACTTTAATGTACTAAATTAGAAAGTCAAGAAAAGAGAGAGCGCCCTAGAGTACATGTAGCCTCTTATGCATGTGTTTTCTTTTGGCTCGTCGAGGGATTTTCCCGATTCAAGGAATGACAAACTAAACAGCGAAAGAACTGCCTGGTTGAATGAATGATAACTTTATTTATACACGGTTAAAAACATCAGTCTAACACAGAAAATTACTTAAAAATTATCAAAAACTGTTTTACATATTTGCCGTGTCGTCGGCATACATTCTAGGAGTCCCCACATTTAAACAATTTGGCAGATCACTTATATAGATAAAGAAAAGAAGAGGAGCAATTATTGACCCTTGAGGTACGCCACAATTTAGAGGGCTCGCGCTAAATAGATGATTATTTACGTTACACCTTTGCATTCGGTTAGTTAGGTAAGATTTAAACCATTTCTGGGCGTCTTGATCAACGCCGGTTTCACTGCCCTAAAAACACGTTGCATACAAGAATCTTGATTCGTCGAACCCTCAGTTTCTTGAAAATCTCGATAATTCAAACCAAAACTATAACTTTCCTTCGTAATTAAACACTATAATTCTATCCCGATTTTTCAATACTCCGTAAAATTCTAACCATTTTCCTTTCTTCCGAGAAGGTAAGTAAAATCGCCTCTACACCGTGATTAATTTTAAACTGCGATGATGTTTCAATATAACTGTTATTAAACAAACCTGAATATTATCAGAAATTTCGTATTCCAAGGCCGTATGTAAGACTACCACAGGCTCCCCAGGCATGGAGCGATGAGTGTAGATATAACACCGCCTGTCAGGAGCAAGCCGCCGCTTTAGATCTTCCCAGCCGTACATAGAATGTACTGCCTCGTAACGTATAATCTAAAAGAAACGAACATTTATTAAGGCATGTGAGAAAAGCTTTCCTTTAGCCTGTTCCAGGGGAGTACGAAGGGGGTCGCGCGCTTTTTTTCGCTCATCCACACTGACTGAGAGCCGGGTGCAGGCTAGCTTTCCTTCTACGGAAAAATCTTCTTTCACGGTAAGAGAAATAAGTTAGCGTGTGCCACAAAATTTTTGCAGAAGTATAATTTTGCGGATTAGAGATTTTTTGCGGGAACTAATTTTTGCGATTGTGAAAGACTCGTTGTTATCTCTGGGGATGTGCAGTATTTCTGCGATTTTCAGGAAGAGACTTTCAAGTACACAATTTTACAAAGAACCCTGTCAGTAGACCAACAACAATCTTATTGTTGTTGTAGTTTTCACACAACTACAGGCAATCAAATTACTGGAAACACAAGTAAAAAAGGCATACAGAACCGGGCAAAATACGTTAATCAGTGTCACTCTATTACAATTACGTCTTACCCTAATGACTAGAAGCGATATCACTTGATGCGTTATTCCCGAGTCACTTTTGTGCAGAAATACACACAACACTTACCGTGATGAGTACTTTATATTGAACACAATTATTTGAATTTCCATATGATTTCGGTTTTGACAGAATTGCTTGCGTTCAGGTAAGGATTAAGGTTACGGGACACTTCGTGATGTCTTCCATAAGGAGCAAGAATCTCATTAGCGAGTATTTCTGAATATAACAGTCTATTACAATTTAGTAAAATCCAGCTAGTGGTCTATTATCAATGCTGCGTTCTGATTGGTTGAGATACTGCAAGGCTATATGTTATAGCCCACTAGTAGCAAAAAGCGCGGGCTTTTTGGCGGCAAAAAAGGATTCAAGTCTAGCTTTAACGAACTAAAAGTTTTTTACTCTCGATATTTTCGACCAACTAGTTGGATTTTACTAAAACAATTATTCCTCTTGCCCTCATGGCCTCTGAGTCAGTAGCCCATTCGGCCTTCGGCCTAATTGGCTACTGACTCAGAGCCAATTCGGGCTCGAGGAATAATTGTTAATTAGTCTGCGCATGCCCCAGTATGACTGATTGCTTCAGTAAGTGATCAACAATGACTAGCAACGGCACCTTGATGCATTATCCCCGTAACTGGACCCAAGTAAATTTCTATTCACACTTTACATCTAAGTCCAGATTACTACGCTGTGGTCATTTTACTATTGCCAGGTTTTCTGTGCTGTTCTGGCGTTCTGACTTTTAGCATAATTACGCCTCGTTAATTCGCAAACAAAATAACAACAACAACAAGAAAAACAATAACAACGATCGATGTCAGGTAAGCACCTTTTCAAGAATGCTTCCAGGTGAATCCCACGTGACTTGTTTAAGATCCAACAATCCAACTGCAAACCATTGAGCCAGTAAATTCTTGATAGAGGTGCTTAAAGCCTGAAGCTCTTGTCTGGCAACAGGGTCTTTCTCATCGTTCAATCCTTCCTTGGTAATAAAAGACACTTCACATTTAACCTTTTGCATCTGACAGTCAACCAGAATTTTATTGTTCAAAAAGGTGCCGAACTGCCGGTCGTAACCAAAGCCTGTGACTCAACGAAACTGAGAACGTTGCTTTGGTGATCAGTGTTTCTACGCTAATATCATAGGTGAGGAATTACTCCTTAATTTTCAGTGTTTCTACGCAGTTTTAAATGTGAAGCCACACAAGAGATCAAGAAGGATTCTAACTTTAATAAGGACGACTGATCAGTTTATTTTTGCATTGATGGTTTAAGGTTTGGCGTGAAATTATTTTTGCGTTTTTCCAAATCCCTAATGCTAGTTCATAAATGTAGCCGACTCCTTTAATAAGGACGACCGATCAGTTTATTTTTAAAAACACGTTCAACTTACCCACCGCAAGTATTCTGAACCATATCTTTAGTTTACTCGCACACTTCTCGATAAGTTCTTTGGTGCGACGTCACAAACGACAACCCTTGATACCACACGTTTTAGAACAAAGAACACTAAACTAGCCTTTTTTGGGTTAAAATCAGTTTTCTAACACAAAGCGGAGAAAATGTAGACGTGTGTGGGCGTTGGGGAGTGGATTCATGTGTACAATAGGTGAGTTAACACAAAGTTCAATCATCTTGCATTGTTACCCAACATCATTTTCATCCGCCCTCTCTTTTATCTTACCAACAGATCATTTCTCATGTCCACAATATCCTTGACGCCTCCCTGTAGCTTGCTGATCTGTGATAACAACTGGATATGAGCCGGCTCAAGCGCCTGTCGCAGCTTATCTTCAGCTCTCAACATGGCTGGAACTCCATTTTTCTGCTCCATAAAAAAAATAAAATAAAAAATCTTATAGCCTGAGAAAACAGCCGAGATTTCACGACGCCACCACTGGTGGTCACTTGTTTCCCCGCGAAATGATGTCTGAGAAACGAGCGCAGAAATTCCATTCTGGTGACGCGTCACGACCCAGATCTGCGTAGTGCTTCCGATTGGTTGAAACAAATTTCCTACGCGGCACGACCAATCAGAGGCACTAACCAGATCCGGGTAGTAACAGGTCATCAGTGGAAGTTCTGCGCTCGATTCTCAGACGTCATTTCGCGAGGAAACCAGGGGTGGCGTCCCGAAATGTCGGCTGTTTTCTAGTGCTAAAAACCTTATCAACAAAATGAGTTACAAAAATCTGTTTTGGGCAGGGGCATGAGACAAAGGGCAAAATCTTAGTTCTCCAACAGAATCAAGCTCTTGGCTAGAATATAGTAATCCTCGTTGTCATAATAGGGAGCTTAAGCAACAACGACGGCGACGGCTACAAAAACGTCACTTAAAAAGTGAATTCGCACCGCTTCAAATTTTATCGCGCTCATTCCATCTCGTTTACTTCGTCAAATGTTGGCAAATGTTTTTGGAGTTGAATTCTAAAGGAGTGTATCGAAGTTCAGGAAAAGAAAAGAAAGTTGTTGTCTTGTGTTCCCGTCCTCGACAAAACGTGAATTCAGGCATTTTCCCGTTGTAGTCGGGCAACGACGGCAAAGAAATGTACAAAAAAAGCGTGATAGCACGTGCAAAGTTGTTGCTTTGCTAATCAAACCTATTGCTTTTTTGCCGTTCTCGTTGCCGTCCGCGTCGTCGTTGCTTAAGTTCCCTAATTATACAGTGCACTCCCACAAATCAACTGCATACAATGTTCCTGTCTGGAGCAGTAACTCATTTAGGAAGAAAAAGAAATATTCGAAATTGGTCAGACCAGAATGAATTGAAATCACTTTTAGCCACTGACCTGAGCTTTTGATAGGCTTGCCGCAGTTTCCATAACTTCTGCATGGTCAACTCCGAGATCACGTTCGAGGACAAGAAAAAACGCCAGTTTTTCAGCCTGTTGTGACATGCAAGTTTCAACATAAACATTTAGATTGCTAGTAGATTCTCAAGAACGTAGGGAGAGAAGCGACGATCGGAAATGCGTCTGCGCTTCGCAGGCTACAAGAACGTTCCACAAGCAGGAATGTTACAGGCGAGCAGGGGAGGAGGGAAACAGACGAAGGAGTGGCAGGTGGAGGGAGAGGGACTTAATGTTGGGGATACCTGTCAAAAAATTCGATTTATAACCTTAAAAGAGAACAAATCTGGCATTGCTCAGGCTTTAATTGACCCATAAAGAAGACAATTCGGCCATACAGTTGACTGGATAAAAAGTATTAGCTCTCTATCCTGAAGACCCTAAGTAAGACCAAAATCTGCTAATTCTAAACAATTTATTTATTAGAAGCGGTTTTTGTGGTATCCAGAGTAATCTAGGTCAAGGTAAGTGTTATCAGCAGAGCCGAAGGCTGAGGCTGTCAACACTTATCGAGACCTTTCATTATTCCAGATATCTATCACAAAAACAGAATCTAACAATTTTTTATTAAACATTGTTTGGAAGAAAATAATGACAACACATTATCGAATGAAACTGACACGACACTGTTTTTGGAAAATATGCATTGCAAGCACAACCTACAGATTAGTCAGTTATATGCTAGTAGATAACTAACTAATTAAGCTGAAGGTTGAATGATTTCCAAAACTAACTGTAGGCTCTTAGACAATGAGAAGACAGATAGTGAGCCCAAATTATAATAACACCCCTTAAACTCACACTATGATTTACATTCCCATCACTTTCATATGGCAGTTGGGAAGAGAAGAGAGCAGTCCTTTACTTTCTGCATCTCTCCAGTTCTCTTCTCAGCTCTTTTGCTTTCCAACTGCCGAGCCACAACTTGATTGACTAAAAAGGGATGGCTCGCAGTCTCAAATGAACATTGTGCCTATGCTGGTTTCAAATATAAGTTTATTAAAATGATACAATTCAAGAGACACTAGTTGTATGTTTTAATACCTTTGTCATTAAGCCACTGTAAAAGTGCCTAACCTCTTTAGCAACAGCCTGCAAGAAAATTAGAAAATATTGGAAAGGACTGAATATAACTTCAAGTTCTTATTTTTTTTTGTACTGCAAGGGGGGTCCACATTATCCTTATAAAGGGTATCACTTTTGTCCTTGTTGGTGTTGTGCTCCTACCCTGGGTACCAGAGGTTTTTCTCGTGTGCGGCGGGAATTTTCAGTGATAGCCGAAGGCCAACACATCTTCGGTCATAGGCCGAAGCCGCAAGGGTCACTATAAAGACTTGACAGAAACCGGAAACCTTGCTAGAAAAGTCTCTGGTACCCAGGGTATTGTGTTCCCTGTGCCTTCCTTAGAGAGGATATCATTATTATATACAGGCATATATAAATAAATGCCCAGCTACACGAGAAACGATTCATCTGTTTAAATGGAACTCTACCTTAGAGTATGAAGAAAGCAAATTAAGTAAGATTTGTGTGTTTCCATAAAATTCTTAGTTTTGTTTTTCCCTTGAATTGGGTCTCACTTTTCAGTTTTGAGCTTTAAATAGGGTATCAGTTTTTGTTTGTCTCCTCCTTAAATAGGGTCAGGGTTTAAGACCCTGGGCGGCACACACAAAATCCAAGGGAGTACACCCCCCCCCCCCTCCCAGGATCTGCCAGAACCATCATCACCATTGTCACATTGTCTTTGCTAAATCTGTGTAATGTCTAAAACAACAAGTGCTGCTTACATTTGGCATAAGGTCACCAGAAGAAACTGTTCTCCTCATTCTAACTGCTGTACTCAACATTTCACGGATTTGAGTCATCCTATTTTGTGATGGAAGAGCCTCAGTGGTGGGTACATCATGATCAGCCATCTTGAGTAGAAGATTAACCCAACGAGATTCTACATTGTGCACCTGAGCAATAGAACAATAAATATAATTATTACACATTGAACTCACTATCTGTCTTCTCACTGGCTAACAGCCTATGTAGCTAATTTTGGAAAATAATCAGCGCAACCTACAGATTAGTTGGTTATCTACTAGCAGATAAATGGCTAATCTGTTGGTTGCGCATGCAATTAAAATTATGCATGAATTCCAAAAGCAAGGTCAATTCAGTTCCATGCAACAGTGTCTTTGTCATTCTTTTTGTCAAAACAATGTATAATAAAACAATTATTAGATTCGGTTTTTGTAATATCCGGTGGATAAAGGTCTGGGCAAGTGTTATCAGCCTCGGCCTTCTGCTTGGCTGATAACACTTACCTCTACCCTGATTATTCTGGATACCACAAAAACCTCATCCAATAATAATTGTTTACAACTTTTATTCACACGATACAAAATATTTTAAACTTTCAAAGTGATATTATCACATTGTGAGCAATGAAAGATTTCTAAGCAGCTATAGAATGGTGTTATTAATTATTATAGTGGGTGGCTATGATATACATGTAGATGCTAAGCAATTTATTTTATAATTTAATTACCGCAGTACTTGAAGAACAAAGAAGATGTGGTCCGCCACCCTTGTCAGAAAGGCAATTTCTACACAGTAAGTCTTTATTCCAGCCTTCTAATTGTGGAAGAAATCTGTAAAGAATATAACATACACTGGTTTATAATAAGTCGCGGAGTTGGCATGATGTCTGGACTAAACCAGTCTGAATAAAAAACGTAGTTCACCACTGATTGCTAAGACAATTTGGCTCCCTTCCCTTATCACAATTCCTTCCTGAATTATGCACCCCTCTTGACTTAAAATAAGCAACCAAGACAGCCCTATAGGTCATCAACCAGGGCTGTTAATACCCAATATCTTTAAAGAGTTTCATTGTGGGTTATGGAAATGGGAATATATACCTATAGCCCTAAGCCAGCGTTCACATTTGGTGCCCATGCACAGTGTCCGAGTATGGTACTTGCTGGTCACTAATTTGAACACACCCTTTTTTTAAGTAACCATGCTAAAATTTAGTCTTGGTGTCTTTGCCTGAGGAGGACCTTAATTGTACTCGGGCATAAAAGGGGGTGCTGGGTCCCTGTGTGTACGTTCTGGGGCATGCTAAGCTCATGTTTCAAAGTGGCGTCTGATGGGGCAAAATGTGCATAGTTATATTTTGAATACTGATCAAGGTGTGAACACAAAACCATATTGTGTTGATACCCAGGCGGTGGTTCCCAAGTGTAGACAGCCCCTAAGATACTCACTTTGGCTTAACGGTAGGGGGAAGACAAACTCCAGACTGTTTTTACTTTGATAAGGGCGAATGCCTTGGGATTTTTTGGCCAAATTGTAGAATACCCTGCCCACTAAATATCTAACTTAAAAAAACTGCTAACGGCAGTAGTCCGATTTGCATAATAAATTCTTTAATCTTTAATCTTTAATCTTTAATCTTTAATCTTTAATCACAGTTCGTAACCATACATAACTGATACAAATGAACTAATACTAACATATACAATCGAACAAAAATACAAAAATGGTTAACAGGACGGTAGTAGGGGGAAACCAAATTCCCATGCTAAGACATACCTTCCAAAAAAGAAAAAAGAAAAAAAAGAAAAAAAATGATTAATTAATATATAAACATATATTAAAAGACTATAAATTAGACTATAAATTATAAACCTAGGTGCCTAATAATAATGCATAAACTTATATTAAAGACACTATGCCTAATATTTTAAGGTAAATTATGAGCGAAGGTACTTAATCAGTGAAACTTTAAAAGACTGAAGGCTAGGAGATGACATTACTTCAGAAGGCAAAGAGTTCCAATCATTAATATATCTATGAAAAAACATCGACTGTGGCAGTATGGAACTGTGGGAGCACTAGTCGTCAGGGGCATAGCCAGGATTTTTATAAAGGTACGCACAATTTTCCAAATTTGTCACCCCCCACCCCCTCCCCCCCTACAACACCGTTTTCACGCTTTATACATTCAGCTTGCCACTGGGCTTTTCCTGTCATTTTCTGTAAATACATTGTTCCACGAATGAATCATGTGTTGCTTCGCTAGTAACCAACATTCAGGTGTAAAAAAGAAAGAGTTCATTGTTTTAAAAAACTATTTCAGCAAAACAAGCAGAATTAAACGAATTGAGGAAACTTTTGTTTTTTTCAGAGAGTTCGCTTTTTATTTTATATTATTATTTTACCCTCAACAGTTTTTCAGGTATGCTCGTGCGTACCGTGCATACAGGTAGCTACGGCCCTGGTTGTTTACCAACTTATATTCACTTTTCAGCTACTGCAGGAGTGTGGAACTGCAGGAATGCTCTTTTTACTCACTTTTAATTGATTTGAGTTTAAATATTTGGGATGATCGAACATGACTGCGGGACTGAGGGAGCAGTTTTTCAAGTAAGGTCCTGTGTACAAGGAGGACGGGTAACCCTGGGGCTAGGATTATCCTAGCAAGAGGGTTACCCTAGCACTAGGGCAACAAACCCTACCTGAGTGCTAGGGTTACCCTAGCAAGAGGGTTACCCTACCTGCCTTGTAAACATTCAGCTAGGGATAACTCGTCTACCCGGGTCAACTTTCTGCCGTCATGCATGACCAGTAATCCTGCCAATTTGAATGGCAGTATCCAATTTCTGAGCTTAATTCTAAACATCTGGGGAAAAAAAAGTTATCTTCTGTCTACGACGATAATATTTTCCCTTCTTTTTTTTGTGAATTTAATGTGTTTTCCATAAAGAACATCAAGATTATTTCAAATTTTAAACCGTTACAGAGGATGTCACACATGACGAAACACGTCAGCAAAGCTGGTAAAGAGGTAAAGTTGGCCCAGGTGATAGGGTAACTCTACCTGTGAAATTTGCTTGTAAACCAGAGCTAACTTTAACCCGCTTGCAAGGGTAACCCTCGAACAAGGGCAGCCCTCTCTCTTTGTAAACAGGCCCTAAGACATTTAGCGGGCCGGTTGTTCTGCGATCTCCTCGATTTTTCAACGTAACTACTTCCACGTGCTTTTATTTATTTATTTTTTTTCAAACTAGAGAGATACCAAAAAAACTACAATTATACTCTAGCATAGTGTTTTACAAATTTAAGCTAATAAACTCAAAATTTGAGTCTTAAATGTAAGTGGGATAACAAAATATGAGTGAACAACTGCATGTTACAGGGAAGTCATTTACGTGTTACTTTGCAGGAAAGAGACCTAAAGGAAGAGAATATTGCCGTGTCCTGACGAGCAGACGCACTTACCTCAGGAATCGCCAATTTCTGGTCAAAACTTTCATTCCTCACTGCTGTCGTGTCGCCGATCACCGGAAATGTTAGTTTACTTTTGAGCCTGCACCAGCAGTCAAGGATCTTGTCACTTATGCGCATATGGTGTGTCTCTCCTTATGTGGAGCTCCCATTTATAAAGAGTCTTTTCTCAAATCATCGAATAAGTCATAGTGAAATAATACGTGCATTTCATTTACAACTGAATTAGGCTGCAGAGATCACAATTTCTAAGATCTTCAGGAGTTTTGAGAATTGTAAATCTTCCGGTTTCGATTTTTAAGTTATGATTTCCTATCGTAACTTTGGAGGCGATACATTTATGTTCAGGATTCCTTATATGATTAACGAATTCAGAGTACTTTGGTCTACTTTGTTTCATTTTTTAATATGGAGTAGAATTTTAGTTTAAGAGAAGAGAGAATCCTCCTTTAACCTGTTCATAGACCCTCCCATTTCTCTTTAGATATAAAGACGCAGGGGCGGATCCAGGATTTTTTTTAGGAAGGGGTGCACTCGTCTCTTGCTCTACTTCAACACTAATAAACCACATAGTTTTTTTATGACAGAATACCAATTGTATTAGAAAACCGCAGGTCATCTCGGGGGGGGGGGTGCGCACCCACTGCACCCCACCCCCCTAGATCCGCCCCTGAGACGAGACGTCGTCATGCGTCGTCACGCCACACGGTCATGGAAGCAAAATTTCTAGATCTCAACAAACCGTGATCTTGCAAATATGGTAAAAAAAAAAATCGAAAAAATTCACATGTATGACTTTGCTGTGCATGAATGCACCCAGGAACAAAACGGTAGCCCATACTTTTCTCCCATCGTTCGACAAATTGACAAATTGACAGAAACGCCAATTCATGGCCTCTCTGTCAAAAATTGAGTCAAGAAAGACTGTTGAGATCCGGAAATTTTGCAGTCATGGCTAACACGACGTTACACTTCTCTCTATTGTCGACCACGCGCGTTAAGGCTGGTTTTCAACTGGTTTTCACTGGCGACGGAGTCGGAGTCGAAGTCAGAGTAGACTGTTCACAGCCCGGGGTACTCCCCTACGTTACCTATACGGGTATGTGCCGCCCAACGGGGTCGTGATTTTGAAGCTCCTGATTTAGAACGGGGTATCCATTTAAGAGGCGTTTTCTAGAACGGTGTATAAAAAATTGTGGATCACGGCTTTATCTTCTGCTTAAAATTGTTGCTGACTATGAAGAAGCATTTATTTGATGTATAAGTCGCACAAATAAAGAAATATCTTTAAAAAAAACAGGGCTATTTCAATTTACAAACTTTCTAGAACGGAGTATAAAAAATTGGCGCATTTCTAGATCAGTTTTAGGGCGAATTCTAGAACGTCAGCGTACAAGGGTGCTTCTGGCCACTGAAGAGCGAAAAAATTATTTGACCCGAAAATAGGAGAGACGGAGAACTAAACTTATATGGATAATGTGGACTTTGCAATCACTACCAAGAGAGTATTGCCGAATGAGATCAGGCACTACTTTCGTCGGCTCGGTAAATATATTCCTGGCGGACAAGGCGAATCGAAGTCTCGCATCTGTTTGAGGAAATTACGTGTGGAGTATCGAACTTGTTGTTTTCCCTTGCCCCTACTGTACATGCATTGTTCCAGGAAATTGACTTCAGCCTATCAACTTGTTCTTTTCCCTTAGTATTCTCACGATTCTGCTTGCAAAAAAGCGTGATGCACGTGCAAAGTTGTTGTTTTGCCAATCAATCTAAACCAGAAGCAGTTATATGCTTCTGTCTAAACCTGTTGCTTTTTTGCCGTTCTCGTTGCCGTCACCGTCGTCATTAGGGAACTTAAGATAGAGACGTTTTCGGGGCGACGGCAACTTCAACCGGACGTGACATCATCATTTGTTGGATATTGCGCATGCTCGTGCTCACAACCTTGCCGTCGTGGTACCGTCGGCGACGTGAAACCGGTCTGTTTGGCGTTGTGGCGAAAACGTGAGTATTTAACTTTCATTTCAATCAGGTTTGTTGCGTTTAGCAACCAACATTTTGCATATTATCGTTCTTAAATTGTGCTTGTTTTCTTTGTGGCACATTTCAAGCTCGATTTCGAAGCTATGTTATCTAAACTTACATCTTTGAATGTTTCTATGTTTTCATGTCACAGGGTCAAGATCCAACTTGGCAAACAGCCAACCGTAAGTGAGCTTGATAAGGTCAAAATTTTCCTACGAGCCATATAAAAGTATCCAGACAAAAAATATGAACTCCGAGATTTCAATTGTGTGTTTTTAGTTCGCTCTTTTCGTTAGAATATCGTATAAATGAAACGCATTGAAAATTATATAGAATAGTAGGTAATACCATGTACTAACTCGGCGTGGGAATACTGAAATAAAGTTGTTGCCGTTGTTGTTGTTGTTCCATGCAAGTATTTCCCGGGAATTATTTCAATACCAAACTAAGAATACGGTTCCTTGGTAGCATTTTAATGTTCCTGTAATTTGCAAGGCTTCGGCAAGCCTTTTTTTTTCAACACGAAATTCTGCCTTGAACTCAGCTGCATCCCGCATGTTTTTTGGCGTGAAGGGTCGTAACTGTCCTGAGGAAAATTGGGATTTTTGGACTCATAATTTTCCCACAAAACGAGAAACTCTTCATCCGATACACGTTGTCTGCATAGCAAATATTTATTCTCTTAATTCTTTATGTGAAGCCATGTTTTCCTCTTCGGTATTCTTCTAATTAAAGGCGCCGTCCTTCTGAGTTCACTGCGATCTTAATGTTCTATTTTTGACGGGAAGCGACGGCTGCCTTAGTTCCAGGCTTTCTCTGCTAGTCCGGTCGCCGTCGCCCCGAAAACGTCTCCATCGTAAGTTCCCTATTGCTTAACCCTAATTACTCCAACGCCGCCAACGAAGCATAGGGTTAAAAAAAAAAAAGCGCTTTGAATGTGGACAGTGCTGTCTCCACCATGGTGGCGTCCGCCTTCTTTTTCATAGCTACCACCTGTTTCTGAAATCCCTCTTTATTACCGCCTACAACAGAAGACAAAGACCGTTACTCATTTTCCAAACTACCCAATCAGGGACTCATGATTTACAGAAGATCTCATGTCACATGAGCCCACACAGCGCATCACGATTTTTTTTAACTTCATGTCACGTGAGTCCAACAGCGAATCGTGACTTTTTTCTTTCTTTTTTTTTGTGTTTAAATCTCATGTCACATGAGCCCACACAGCGCATCACGATTTTTTTAACTTCATGTCAGGTGAGCCCACACAGCGCAACATTTTTTTTTTCTTTTTTGTGTAAATCTCTTATCACGTGAGTCCACACAGCATCGCGATATTTTTAACTTCATGTCACGCGAGTCCAACAGCGAATGGCGACTTTTTTTTTCTTTTTTTGTGTTTAAAATCTCATGTTACAAGTGTAAATCTCTTATCACGTGAGTCCACAGAACGCATCACGATTTTTTTAACTTCATGTCAGGTGAGCCCACACAGCGCAACATTTTTTTCTTTTTTGTGTGTAAATCTCATATCACGTGAGTCCACACAGCGCATCACGATTCTTCAAATCTCACGTTACACAAGCCCACGCAGCGCCTCCCAATTCACAAATGACCGATGGGGTTGGAGCAAACCCAGCGCGTCGTGTCAGATTTACAACTTAAGCATACGTAAACCTATACAGTGAATACGCATTACAATAAAAGAAATGTTTTGAACCTACAAAAAACAGGAAAGAAAAAGAAACTTTGACCCTGCGATAATTTATCGAAAAACAAAAAAAAATTACGGCATATGATAAAACATGGACTGCAACAAACAACAAAACATGGATTGATAAAACATGGATAATTAAAACATGAATTAATAAAACATTGATTATTACAGACCAACATGAAAACTCCCAGTAAGGGAGACAACCAAGGTAAAAAATACTGGTCAAAGTTATCGACGTGCACGCTGGCGTGGTGGAACTGCTCTCGGAAGAAATTGTCACCGTTTCCCAAACGTGTTCGACTTTCTCTGTAGGTGGCTGTTGCAAACTAACACCCTTGCATGGTCTTATGTAATGCTAATTACGTCATCATGAGGGATCATGAACATTCAGTGGTGTTTGGATAGCACGACAGTTGAAGGAAACAGTTGAATGTGTGGGGTAACATCACATGATCTGCAATGGGAAAAATAGGGCACGCTCCCACGTTTTTTATTTTTATTTTTTTTATTTTTAAAGTTTGGAACGGGAGCAGCTTGCTAGCTCAGTTGGTTAGAGCGCTGCACCGGTATTGACCAGGTCAGGGTTCGCATCCTGGCAAGCCTTATTTTTTTCAGGCTTTCATTTCGCGACTGCGAAGGTGCGTCTTTCGCTACGACGATCTTCCCGGCTTCATTTAATTCTTCATTCCGCGGTTCAAATAATATGAAATTCATACAGTCATCATTTTCAATTTTGTTATTGTTGTAAAAAAGGACAAAAAAGGGAAAGACAGTCATGCTTCAGTTTTGAATCTTTTGCGTATTTTCACATAACAAGTCGAGTCAGGATGTGGGACGCCGACTACGTGTCGAGGGGAAGGCAAAGGAACTTCTGAATTTACTAACTCCATGTCATAAACACAGAGGATTGCAGATACAAACATTTGGATTTCCATCAAAGCAAACCTACGACCTGGACACTGAAAACGACCACCACCAAAAGCAATGAAATTCTCTGCTGCAGCGGTTTTATCTGAGCAAGGTGTCTCCTTCCAACGGTTTGGATTAAAAGAGTCTGCATCTGGGTAAACAGCCTCGTTTCTATGTGTCCAATAAGGTGAGATCATCAGCGTATCGCCTGCTGGGATTGTGAACTCCTGCACTTGAAGGGGTTCTGTGAGTTTTCGGGCAATAACACCAGGAGAATGTAGGCGAATAACTTCAAGTATACAGTACTCGACAAACTGCAGTTTCTTAATGTCTTCTAAAGTCACTGTTGACAATGACCCTACAAATGAGCATATGGAAGTTTACTTTTAGTAATATTAATACACCTGAGACCAGTTGTTCGATCTTGTTGGAGGGGTGGATTAACGCTATCCATTGGATAAATCTATACAAACTGGATGGCATAATTGGTTTTCCTAATTCTTATCTGCTGGATAGTGATTTATCAGGTGGACTGGGTTATCCAACGTTTAAACAACCAGAGCCAGAGCATTACTTTATACTCTCTAACACGTGATATGCTCTATGCTAGCTGTGCAACATGGTTTCACGGTTTCTGTGCAAAGACAGATCATTTTATTAATATGCCACTTCATTTCCGTTTATCCATTTTGTTGACTTTGCACTAACAGGCCATGTGATTGTCATGTGAGTGAATAAACAATCAGAAACATCCAAAGAATAATAATTAAATGTAAAATAGCTTAATGATTTCATTATTTAACTGTCAGATCACTAAAACCTGTGACCTGCTAGCCAACCCAGCTAAGCAGGCTGGCTCACCTCATACAAACAGGTCCTTTATTACCTTCACTATTTATGTATGGTCCCAGTACTTCATCAATTTCCTTCTGCACATCCTTCTTGATGGCCTGGTTAGCCAGCACTAATGCCAAAGTCCAGAATGTTATTGGAACAGCATTTGCAAGTGATGCCCAGAGCAAGAGAACAGCGTAATTTGGTGCACAGTCTCCAGTCAGTGAATCAACCATTGACTGAAGCAAAGAATCCTCTTTGACACCTGTGCACAATTGCTTTTGTAGTACATCAGAGAACTTATCCAACAAAAAATGTTTTGACTTGGACCAGTCTTTCAACAGAAATTCAGGTAGCCTTGCTCCATGTTCAAAGCTGCCATCAAATTGAACAAACCGTTTTTGGAACTTTTTGAACTCTTTTATAGACTGAGGAAGGACACCAGATCCAAAGAGTGTGGGAACAACAGCACTGAAGACAACATCGCGAACCAAACTCATCAAGTCAACTTCAGCCCCTGGAATTTTGGCTGGTGGGTAAATAATAAACAAATAAATAAATAACGATTAAGACGTAGCACATCCACCAAGTGGTTCTTCATCTACCTGATTCCTAGTCGAATTGGACTTTGGAAATGTTGGTTTTTGAGGAAAGGGGAAAACTGGAGTACCCGGAGGAAAACCTCTCAGAGCAAGGGTTTTTGAGGAGAGGGGAAAACTGTAGTCCCAGAGGAAAACCTCTCAGAGCAAGGAGAGAACCAACAACAAATTCACACTCACATATGGCATCAACGCCAGGATTGAACCCCAGCCACATTGGTGGGAGATGAGTGCTCTCACCACTGCACCATCCTTGCCCCCGTGAGCACTGGCATTAAAAAAGCACTGTTGGTAATAAGAATAACGTTGTAAAGCCGCTAAGGTGATACATTTAAGTGGGTCGAAGTGTTTTGTTTCCCACTGCCTTCTCTTCAATGGGGAGAATTGGTTGGTCAAGCAAAAAATAGGAAAGAAAAAGAAATTACTACAAGCAATTCTTGTGGATGTCAAAACACCAGCATTCTAAACAAAAACGATGGCAAGGTGTGTACTAAGCTATTCCTGTGCAAAACATCAAACCTATTTTATACAAGTTAATGATAAAAGTAAAAGGTGATATTAATTTTCAGTTCAAGAAAAAATTGTAGTGAACTGTTTGTTTTTTGCAGAAGAAAAAACAGCAGATATTCACTATAGAAGGGAATTCTTTTTGTTTTCATAATTTTTAACAAAAATGGGTCAGTCAGCTGATAGGAAACGAAACTCAATGGGCTGAGATGAAATGTAAGTATTAAAATATTTAACATGTGGTAAGTTCTTTGAAATGTTCAGAAGCCCAAATCTCTCACAGATAGTCACATATTCCCAAGAGTGCAAATTTTTTAGCAGAGTTAATAGTCTTAAAATTCTTCTGTGCCACCTCTAACTTAGAAAAACCTCGATGCTTTGATCTTGAGCCCCTAGTGACACCCTGCACTGATCCCCTCGAAGATTCCATGGAAATAATGGTTGTTTACTATTTACGTGGGAAAACTGGTCAGTTCACGGTCTGAGCAAATGGTAAGAAAGTTTCAGCACCCACAAATTTCATGCTGGAATTTTGTTCACCATTTGCACCAATCAGTTCCTTTTACCAAAAAATGGCCGCAAAATCCTAAAACTGGTATCAACAGTTGGGCCAGCTATTTTTTCAGAAGTTTTGTTCCTCCTGAAAATTTTACGGTGGGGTGACACAAAAAGCCATGTTACATTTCATCTGCCTGATGCCATTGTTTCAAATGTTTTTATCAAAAGTGTTAGTTATTTCTTCCAAATAAATGAGTGGCAATGTATCAGGGGCACCTAATGAGAATATAGTTCAAAACCACTTAAACATAGCATTGTTAACCATATTTAAGTATTTAATTGGTACCAGGTAGATTTAGGCATATTTTTATCCCCTAAGAATTTTTCATGTGTTCAGATTTCCTAGCCGAAAGTCTAGTGATCCAAAGATTATAGGGATCAAAACTTACCTTTTCAAAAATTTCATCCAGAAAAAAGGCTCCCAAAAATTCTAGGTGAATTTTTTAGGGTAAAAATCTGTTAAAAATGGGCAGTTACACCATTTTTTAGATGTTCAACATTCCTAAGAGAGGCAGGCAAGCAAGACATTTTACAACAAATGTTCCAAAAATTCTAGATCTCAAATAGTCTTCCTAACAGATACTTTCCAAAAATTGACATTGGGTGCCCCTGATGTAGTGAAACAATCATTATCAACTTTACTGCCCACTTGCTCAAAAAAATAAGAAACCTGTATAACAATTATTATTCATAAGTTACATTGGCCTCAATAATATATTCTCTGTTGTATTTAGATATTTACTAAACCTGTCAACTTTACAGAGGGTCAGAAGGGGGTCAAAGTTTTGTTAAAGCCCAAGAGCCCCCTCACATCTAAAACTGGAACCACTGTAACAAGTTCAGTGGCAGATCCAGACCTTCAGATAGGGGGAGGGGGGGGGGGTCATCCAGACCCTGAGATAAGGGGGTACCCGGTCTCCAAAAAAATTTTTTCCGGCCCTTCGGGCCTCATTTTGGTCAAAAAATAAGGGGGGACCAGGCCCCCAGGCCCCTCCCCTGGATCCGCCAATGAAGTTTACCCCTTCATCAACAAGTTCCACTGTAACTCTTTTATACTTGGACACACATACCACTGCTAAGGTACTCGTCTATGTGACGTGCAACCTTTGGGGCTAATTTCTGCAAATTGGACGTGGACGACAATCTTCCTTTAACCAAGTCATGGATTTTACGATGATTGGCAAAAAAATCGCCCTTGTCGATTCCAGCTGTGTTTTTCACCGCCTCCTCTACCGCTAACTGAAAATCCGCCTGTGGCGAGTTAAAGAACAACGGAAGATCGTCAACATCTGTTAGAAAGGTCATTCGCTGCCCAGCTGCATACAAAGTAAACACAGCTCCATGCCTCTGCCAAGATTTCTTGATGAAGTCGAGAGGAGCTTTTCCAAAGTCAATCGCACATCCAAGCCAAGGAATCCAACCTTTGATAAGTGGGGGATATCTTGTGTTTTTTGCAGAGAGGAAATGAAGTGACAATAGCGCGATCACCGGAAAAACAACTAAAAGTAAAGCAGTTCCCAGAGTTTGCGGTGCTTGGGGCTCGTCCTCCATACTGGATTAACAAAGGACTCTGGGATGTCTGGGATAATACCTTGCATCTTCGTCGCGGTAGCCTAGGACTAGCTTACTTCACTCGCCGATTTTTTTCCAATATTTACCGTTTACAAAAACATTAAATGAAACTGAGCATATATTTTTGTCTTTCAGCTTTCAGTTTCAGGGAAGAAATGACTGAGCATGCTTTTTTTTCTCTCGACCCAAAGTCAATATTCTGGCTTCACTGACACGAAACAGTCGGTCAGTCGGTCATCTGATAATTATGCAGTTTAATAACAACAAACAAAGGGATTTTCGATGGCTTTATTTGAGATCAATATTAGGCGACCCCAAAGAGCTTTGTATTATTTTCTAGCAAAAATTATTCATATTTAATCTGGTGACGTTTTCAATCGAAAACTCCCACTTCGAAACGATTTTTTTTTAAATCCTTTTTGTCGAGTGTCTTTCGCAGCAAAATATAGCGCGCAAAATAAACGAAATGGATTTTTTAACATCTTCCGAGCGTTATATCTCTTTAAAAAATGCACAGAGAGAACGATAATAGCACAATAAAGATTTCATACTTTTTTCTTTACTCCATCGCGGCGTACAAAGTGAAGAAAAACGACATCGAAATCAAGAAAAATCGCCGAACTTAAATGAGTTGATTTGCTCAAAAATGTCAACATGACAAAAACCTGCTTCGCAAAGACTCGCGGGAAGACCTTCCAATCCTCCTTGAGTGTATCCTATAACAGGATGCGCCGGTCAGTCATCTGATGTAGATGTATCCTCATTTAATAAGATACATCAATGCCATTGCTATAGCAAAACAGTATCATATGTCCTAACTAAGCTAGATGTGCCAGGCCAGATGCGAAAAACCACTAAACTGACCACCCTCGAGAAGTGGCCAAAAAATCTGTGGAAACATGCAGTGCATGCAGTGACACGGAACCCCGGGAAAAAGGCTCAAGCGAAAACATCAAACATGTATGGCTAAGATACGTTATTATAATATAGACTTCTCCAAAAAGAACTACAGTAGATCCCAGTATCTCGAACTCTGAGGGGAAACTAAAAACAATTCGAGTAATCGGGGTCGATTGCAAAATTCAATTTTGAATAATTTCCGGCGCATTTTGTCCAAATTCTAATCCCTCCCCACCTAAGTAGCTTTTGACACTCATCCAAGATGGTTGCCCGTAACGCAAAGGGCTCGATCTCGACGATCTTACGAAAAAATAGGGGACTGTGAACAGTCTAATTTTCCGTGTAAAAAAAGATAGTTAGTTGATTTTTTAGCACTTCAGTGTATGGTGCAGTACAAATTTAACTTATTTCATCAGAAACGGTAACATGATAAGGCATTTCTTTATGATTAAACGCGATTTGTGCGTTGCACAAATTAACATCAAACAGCTTTCGTGTTGACCAGTGTTAGTTTTACTGTTTTTACCGTTATACAACAAGAAGAGCTAAGGGAATGGCATTAGAGTGGAGTTAAAAGAACCAGAATTCGAGTCATGTAGTGTATAACAGACATATTTGTTAACTGGAAAAGATTGAATCTCATTAGCAATAAAGTTAAGGAATCACTTTCATTGTTGTTGAATTATCTACAAATTTTGCGCGAGGACGCCAGAAGGAGAGTAAGTCATCTTGACATCATGTTTAACACGGAGAAAACGCCTCAATACACCTATAGCCAATCCGGTGTGCAAATTAAAGTTTCGCGATATCTTGCACAGCAATTATATCATTTGATCAAATTCAATTTCAAAATCAAATCCCATCTACGTGAGCCGTGTCCTTTGTTTAACACATCTAACGCTAGATATGGATACACGAAGTAGATATACGAAGGGTGTTTTGCGACGTTTCCCGCCACAGGAGGAGTTCATTATATCGAGGTTCCACAGAAGTCGGTCCATAGTAGTCGGTACGACAACCTACAGAATTCAGTTGTTGGAGTAAAGCGACGTCATTTGGTGATTCTCAACTCGTAAACAAGAAACCGCTGTAAGACCTGATGAAAATGGGACAAATCTTCGGGAAGAATATTTGCTTAAAAACTTGTCTCGAGGCTTAGTTTGTGCTTTTTTTATTCTAACGGGACTGAGCCTGTCTCAGACAGCATCCGGATAGAAATCAAGAGAAGGGACTAAAAACGTGCAACGCATTCTGATTTTAGTTTGCTGTAAAAAGGCCAAGCAACAACACAACTTAAAACGCAGAGAAAGTCATCGTGAATGAGGACGCATCTTAAACATTTGCAACTGAAAAAAAGCCTAAAAAAAATCAGACATTCCGAATCTTCAGTTGACGGAATCCCGGCTGGCAAGCCTGAATTTTTTCACGCTGGCCTTTCAAACTACACGAAGTTATTTCTTCATTCCACAATTCAAATACATGAAATTTATACATTCATCATTTGAACAACAACTTTATAAATCGCCAGTATATGCACATATGACCTACCCTGTTTTATACAGATACTCGAGGCAGACAATATGAGGACGCTATACATGTAGAGATTACTATTGCGTTGTTTAACTTCTATATACAACATTTTTTATCACTAAAATACACAGATTAAGTGTAGCTTAAAGTTTTATAGAATACTTTTCATTTCCGAAATACATATATTCGGTGTTAGCAATCAACAGGTTAAACCGGTAGTGAAAAGTATTGAGTGCAAATTTTATAGGAGTCTGCCAAGAAATATCAGAGAACCATTCATTTTTTATACTACAAAGGGGCGCAAAGTCCTTTCATACTTTTTTCTTTACTCCATCGCAGCGTACAAAGTGAAGAAAAACGACATCAAAATCACATGACAAAAACCCGCTTCGCAAAGACTCGCGGGAAGACCTTCCAATCCTCCTTGAGTGTATCCTGTAACAGGATGCGCCAGTCAGTCATCTGATGTAGACGTATCCTCATTAAGATACATCAATGCCATTGCTATAGCAAAACAGTATCATATGTCCTAACTAAGCTAAAACATGTGCCAAGCCAGATGCGAAAAACCACTAAACTGACCACCCTCGAGAAGTGGCCAAAAAATCTGTGGAAACGTGTTCCCCTACACACCCCCATGCAGTGACACGGAACCCCGGGGAAAAGGCTCAAGCGAAAACATCAAACATGTATGGCTATGATACGTTATTATAATATAGACTTGTCCAAAAAGAACTACAGTAGATCCCAGTATCTCGAACTCTGAGGGGAAACTAAAAGCAATTCGAGTAATCGGGGTCGATTGCAAAATTCAATTTTGAATAATTTCCTGCTCATTTTGTCCAAATTCTAATCCCTCGCCACCTAAGTAGCTTTTGACACTAATCCAAGATGGTTGCTCGTAACGCAAAGGGCTCGATCTCGACGATCTTACGAAAAAATAGGGGACTCTGAACAGTCTAATTTTCCGTGTAAAAAAAAGATATATAGTTAGTTGATTTTTCAGCACTTCAGTGTATGGTGCAGTACAAATTTAACTTATTTCATCGGAAACGGTAACATGATAAGGCATTTCTTTATGATTAAACGCGATTTGTTCGTTGCACAAATTAACATCAAACAGCTTTCGTGTTGACCAGTGTTAGTTTTACTGTTTTTACCGTTATACAACAAGAAGAGCTAAGGGAATGACATTAGAGTGGAGTTAAAAGAACCAGAATTCGAGTCATGTAGTCTATAACAGACATATTTGTTAACTGGAAAAGATTGAATGTCATTAGCAATAAAGTTAAGGAATCACTTTCATTGTTGTTGAATTATCTACAAATTTTGCGCGAGGACGCCAGAAGGAGAGTAAGTCATCTTGACATCATGTCTAACACGGAGAAAACGCCTTAATACACCTAGCCAATCCGTTGTGCAAATTAAAGTTTCGCGATATCTTGCACAGCAATTATATCATATGATCAAATTCAATTTCAAAATCAAATCCCTTCCGAACGTCTACGTGAGCCGTGTCCTTTGTTTAACACATCTAACGCTAGATATGGATACACGAATTAGATATACGTAGGGTGTTTTGAGACGTTTCCCGCCACAGGAGGAGTTCATTACATCGAGGTTCCACAGAGGTCGGTCCATAGTAGTCGGTACGACAACCTACAGAATTCAGTTGTTGGAGTAAAGCGACGTCATTAGGTGATTCGCAACTCGTAAACAAGAAACCGCTGTAAGACCTGATGAAAATGGGACAAATCTTCGGGAAGAATATTTACTTAAAAACTTGTCTCGAGGCTTAGTTTATGCTTTTTTTATTCTAACGGGACTGAGCCTGTCTCAGACAGCATCCGGATAGAAATCAAGAGAAGGGACTAAAAACGTGCAACGCATTCTGATTTTAGTTTGCTGTAAAAAGGCCAAGCAACAACACAACTTAAAACGCAGAGAAAGTCATCGTGAATGAGGACGCATCTTAAACATTTGCAACTGAAAAAAAGCCTAAAAAAAATCAGACATTCCGAATCTTCAGTTGACGGAATCCCGGCTGGCAAGCCTGAATTTTTTCACGCTGGCCTTTCAAACTACACGAAGTTATTTCTTCATTCCACAATTCAAATACATGAAATTTATACATTCATCATTTGAACAACAACTTTATAAATCGCCAGTATATACACATATGACCTACCCTGTTTTATACAGATACTCGAGGCAGACAATATGAGGACGCTATACATGTAGAGATTACTATTGCGTTGTTTAACTTCTATATACAACATTTTTTATCACTAAAATACACAGATTAAGTGTAGCTTAAAGTTTTATAGAATACTTTTCATTTCCGAAATACATATATTCGGTGTTAGCAATCAACAGGTTAAACCGGTAGCGAAAAGTATTGAGTGCAAATTTTATAGGAGTCTGCCAAGAAATATCAGAGAACCATTCATTTTTTATACTACAAAGGGGCGCAAAGTCCTTTCATACTTTTTTCTTTACTCCATCGCAGCGTACAAAGTGAAGAAAAACGACATCAAAATCACATGACA